TTATTTGGGTAAGTTTTTAAAAATTTAAGCAGTGTTTTACATTTTATCGTATAATTTTTTTTTTTTTATCCAGAACCCCAAATTGGCCACTTTTGTATATTCATGACATATAATTTTTGGCAGAGGAAGTTATGATGGAGTGATGCAATGATGTTTCACTGTCTACAAATTTGGCAAACATCTCTATATAATATATAAGTTTGAAACTATTATTGTAAAATGATATGATTTTAGTCTGAGAGTTTGATGTCGATTTAATTCCTTCTCTGTGTTATAGTTATACTGCTCTACAACCATTCATCAAACCAATTATGATGATTGGGGTTTACTTAATGTTTAATTACTTGTAATGTTAATTATTGTTATGTTATGTTGCCAAATATGGTAAAGGAGGTGAAATTTTGTAGGTTATTGAAAATCGAGCAAAATTTATTTTGTCTTCCTTTGTGCGGAGGTGGTGGTGGAGTATTAAGATAATGGTTGGGGGATGGTTGTCAAATTTAGTTGCCAACAACATAATGACTTTTGAACCATAAATAGAAAAAGAAATATGAAGGACCTGCAAATATGAGGGACCTGCAATGATGCCATTATAATGCTTCAATAGATATAATAGTTTTATGGGTAATTAATTTGTAATAGCTTATTAAATATGTAAAATTAATTACTGTTTCTTTTTTGTAATTTTTAAGAAAATTAGAAGTACGTAACATAACATGCTGGTGTTTATGTGGAAATGATGACAATTTAATGGAAAATGTTGTATATGAATATTGAATATAAATGTCGTAAATCTGTCATTGTGCCTGTCTGAACATCTCTGTCAGCCACAACACTTTGTAAACAATTGTACATAAAAGTTATCACTGTACTGTAAACAACCTTATATTAAATTTATTTAAGTTATTGTGTGACAACAAAAGAACATCATTCTGTAGAAGAAAAGTATAATAATTCAGTATAATAGAAAAATATGAGGTGATAAAGCCATTCATTCAAAATACATACTATAGCTTTTATAAAGCATTGAGTAAGAATTGATTAATGTGCCATATATATTTATAAGTTTCTGAATCAATTATATTTACAATATTTTACCACTTTATAGAGTTTGTGATAATTCGAGTTTAAGTTGAATGTCAAAATATACAATTAAGATTTAAAAGGAGACTAATTAATGTCAAGCAATATGTAATCTTTAAAAATATTGTGCCTTAAACCTTACTGATGACATAATGTGTATGTATGTAGTTAATTTAAAATATAGGTACATGCACCTTATTAAGTTTGGCTTATAGGCTTAATAAACCTCGAGGTTTATTTACAAAATCATTAAAGCTTTAAACTAGGGTTACAGGGCTAATATACCAGAAAAAGGCCTCTTAGGGACTTAAACATGAAACCATAGTAATTAAGAGCAATGATCAAGAGACTTTTAAGAGTTGTCTTATGTAATCACTGGAACCTGAGAGCTTTTTCCTGAACCGAATTACTGAAGCAAACATAGATGCTCAAACAAGAGAATCTGCTTCTAATGACATGTGAGCCTCTGAGACTTCTCCAATAATCATACCTGAGACTGTTTCAGAGCGAACTTACAGAGAACACTCTCATATGTCACCCATCATTGTGAAAAACTAGCTCATATGTATATTTCCTTTTATATTTTGTCATATTAATGTCTTTTATGTAATTTCTTTTGTTTTAGATCCTAATGATCAAAGAAATAAAAACAAATTGAAATTCAAATAAACCAGATGAAACCAATATGAACTTTTATTTAGTGTTTCCAAGGATATAAAATATGTTGTTTATATAAACATTGTCTATATTGTTTGTCTGTTTTAAATGAAGTGTATTTTAGGACTGACATGACTTCAAATTTCAAACCCCTGCTAAATTTGTATTATGAATTTGCCTGCCATGCTTTGAAATTTTAGCTGTCGATTTTTTATTTCAAAGGACTTCTGTATCACAAAAATATATAAAATGGAATCTCCATGACTAAAATTAAAGCAGCCACTGTTAGTGTCATCTGTCAATCAAACTTATTAGCATTGTTCTTTACTGGTGCCATGGAAATGTCCAGCCATTTTAATTCATTGTTTTATGGTCTCTGCAAGTTTTTATTCTTGGCTAAGCAATAACAGTTTTTTTAAAGGACACAAAAGTTATATTTGATTCCTGCATGTTCATTTGCCATTGTAAAATAATAATGAACAGCTTTAGATTTTTGAATTGTTCAATACAATTAACAATAAATTAAGGCAAAAGACCATAAGTTGGTCACAAAAGATGGCCAATTCTTTGTGAAATTTAAGACTTACACTTTGACTTACAATAAACATTTCTGTATCTTACCTGTGTTTACTAGGTGTCAAGAAAAGTATACACATGTTTGTCATCAAATATTTACATATCACATTCATGACAAATTATATTGACCTTGAATCATGTCTGCCCATGAAAAAAATCTCCTGTATATATTATATATGTAAGATGTATTCATTTTGCCTTTGTTTACTATCTTGCTGGAATTTTTTGTATTTTACTTGTTCTGCAGTTAGAAGATATTTACATATAAAATGCTGAAATTGATCTTCTAACAAAACTTGGCAAAACTATGATCAGACAAAACAAATAATTGAGCCGCGTCACGACAAAACCAACATAATGGGTTTGTGACCAGCATGGAATCAGACCAGCCTGCGCATCCGCCCAGTCTGATCAGGATCCATGCTGTTCGCTTACAAACCCTATAACAAGTAGACACAGCTCATATATATTTTGCAGTCTATGTCTGTATTTTATGATGTTATTGATACTGTGTGTATAAAGTTGACATGATTGCTGCAAGCTTTTCCAAAATTCATATCCAGCCAGATACATTTGCACTTTACTAAGAGCAGATAGTTCTGTATAGGTCAGACTTTCAGATTATTTTTGATGCCATGTTTTGTCATTGAACTGTTTTGGTATTGTAAATAGCACTCAAGGTTTTTGTTATTGCAAATTTTGTGCCCAGGTCAGAATTCAGATTATTTTTAATGCCATGGTTTGTCATGGAACTGTTTGGGCATTGTAAATGACACTGGGTTTTTGTTGTTGCAAATTTTGTGCTCTGACTGTATCAAAATGATTTTAAATGACTTTTGAAGGTAATTTTGCCATAGTTTGAAATAAGAATTGTCAGATACAATATTCGATTTGACATAGTTTGTTTCATAAATTTAAATTAATATAACTTAATATTTGATGTCTATTTCTTGCTTCCTGCTATACTCTAGTATATCCACTAACAACATGATGTATTTCTGATATAGTTTTGTAAGCAACAGTTTCTTACATATATGGATATTGATTAATGTAGAAAGCAACTTGATTCTGGAGGCAATTTGTTCCCCCCATTTCATAGTATAGAAGCTGATGTACATTGATTTTTGTATTGTGTTTTACTGTGAAATCATTTTGGTTGGAGGTTGGGATTATTTTTAGTATAAGACTAGATCTTATTAATATTTAATCGAGTGAAAGTTTTCATAATGATATGATATTTTGTCTTAAGGAATTTTTATGTTTTTGTTATTTTCAAAGTTTAAGTCTATACATTTGTAGGTTGGAACATGTTATAGTAATGAAATAACAATAATAAGCAAGCTAGATATTGACAAATTTGTGACTACGGAAATGAGTAAATCTACAGAATTAAATGACAAAAAAACTTTGATAATTTTTTGTTTATTCGTTTTTGAACCAATTGTCCTTTCTTTATGAATATTGACCGTTTTGCACTTTGAAAGGGAGAGTCATTAGTAAATCAAACACAGGGCCATTACTGTGTATTGTTTATAACATGAGTTCAAATGAAAGTTTTTGAAAAAGATATCGATGTTGTTAAGTGTGAGTCAATATTTGGTGATTATACTGGCACACACTTAAAGTGTTGACTTATTTATTAATAGCAAATTGTGATAAGTTTTAAACCCTAAGTTAAAATGTAGTGATATAATGTACGATAGAGACTGAATTTTACCTGACTTATCATTTCAAGTAATAAGATCAGAGTTATTGCCCTTGACTTTGTGAAAATAATGCTAATGCTAAATTTTAGCCTTAAAATAGGATATGTCCTTTGACAAAGAATATGTTATATGTTATTAATATTTTGTTCAAAGGCAAAATGAAATTGGCCGATAACAAGATGTATTAATTGAATACAAAATAAAGTAAAAGAGGTTATGTGTATTCATATATATAGACTCTGATGTCGAAGTTTTATCCAAAATCAAGACTTTATTATTACTTTTACTATTTGCTTTTATGATAAAAATCTGATTCAGTTTTCCGGAGGGAGTAAAAATATTAAGATATTTTTAAGTTTGAGTGTCAATTGGAATAGTCACAAAATACTGTATCAGTTCAACAAAAAGAAGTAAAAAAACTCCAGAATATTTAGTTCAAATTACAATATACAGGTTGAGTTTAGTTATATAGGGGAATGTCTTTTCTGCACTAGCTGTTTTCATAAAAAATAATCAACTTACAAATACAAAATGTCACCAGATGTAGGTCTCTTAAAGAGCAACCAGATAAATGGTTGGTCTTATTTCTTTGCTGGTATCAAATTTAACTTTGTATAGAAATTTTGAAAGATCAAGTTTCAGATATGTTTTAACAAAGGCTTCAATATATACTCTATTACATTGCTGATATATTGCTTTGACTTAGTTTAATCTGTATACTGCTAAATTTGTAGAAAAGACTTGTCCTGTTTATAAATCTATAGATTAAGGTAGTCCTGAGTTAACATGTTTAGACTGAACCAGAAGGGTAGGCTGTACAAGTGTGTAATTATACAAATCAATCCTGTTGTTTAATTGACCACCTTGAAGAATTAACTGCTTTGTATAATGTTAATTTGTTATGTTTAAATCTGTCATGTTTTTGTATATTTTGCTATGATTCACTGGTCATATATTTATCTTATTTTCTCGTTACAGTTAATGCCAGTGCCCCTCCACAAAGACAATGGATTCCACTGTCCAGGCCAGAACCTGGGCGACCTGCAGGTAATACATTAAATAAATGAACTTTACAATATTCATTCCATTACCTCCCTTTATGAACATGGCATTCAGTTACCTCCCTGTATTAACTTAATATTCCATTATCTCCCTTTATGAATTTACAATAATCATTCTATTACCTCCCTTTTTGAACATGACATTCAATAACCTCCCTTTTTTTAACTCTCTACTTTAATAATCTCTTCATGAATTTGACGTTTCATTATCTCCCTTTATGAAATTTTGGGAAGATACATAAAGAACTTCAAAAAACAACACATGTTTACCATTGAAATATATACATAATATCAAGTGTTAAACTTGATATTTATATCATGAATATAAATTGGCCTGAAGTTATTTTGAGAAATTGTATATATTTAAATAAATGGACATTGACCTTTTTCATAGGAAGTTTTAGAAATATTATCTACTCTAGGCAAAGGCTCAGGAACTATGTGTCATTGACATAAGAGAGGTGACATGTTTTATCCTTTAATTCTGCAAATTATTGTGTCTAGTGTTCACTTAGTTTACAATAAATCATCACATTTCATGAAACATTGACCTTTGAAAGTGCACTTTGCATTTTATGACTGATATAAAATATAATAGCTCATTCAACCTCACATGATGTTGTTTTTTTCCCCTCAAAACTTTTCTCAAATGTTAAATTGTGGGGTGTTTTGGCCAATGGTTGCGGTTGTTCACTTCAAACCACTTGCTCCACATTGCTGTGGGTAAGAATCTTGCCAGAGACTTATATAGAGGAAACTATCAAACTAGCTTACGGAACATAGGTAGCCCGCTTGTGCCTGAAATAATGCACATAGGGGCATAGGAGGTCTAAGAATCCTCCACCAGTAAAGCTGGAAAGTTGCCATGTAACCCCTACAGTGTTGGTGGGACGTAAAACCCAACCAAAAAAATATATATGTTTAAGTGAAAAACAAAGCTTAGTTTATGTGAAAAGGTATGAGCCTAGTACATGGATTAGTCTGACTCAGAGTTAAATATATGGAGTGGTGAAAGCTAGATATATTAGATTTCCAGATATATTTAAGTCTATATACATATATTATACAATTATGAAATGTTTAATGACCGATATATAAGTATATACAAGAGTATGATATTTATTTTATTTCAGCAATTTTCACTGTGATGTGTTACAATGTATTGTGTGACAAGTACTGTACAAGACAACAGTATGGGTACTGTCCATCATGGGGCCTCAACTGGGAGTACAGAAAGAAAGGAATCATGGATGAGATTCGAACATGTGGAGCTGATATTATTGGCCTTCAGGTATGAGACCCAAATATGACACAGAAAAAAAAATTACATTGGGAATACAAACTTCCTAGATAAATATTTGGTTTATTTTCACTTCTAAACTTTAAAAAAATGTAAAGGATATATAAAAAATAACTATCATAATTATTTAACAAAAAAAAGAGTTAATTTTCACCATTTCAATCTTTAATGTGTATTAAAATTGTTGCTGATTTGGTTGGCTTGAACCTGTACAGCTGACTTTGAAAGGGCATTATCTTAACCATTAGAACAAATGTTAAATTTAAAAATACAACGGTTCAATAGCTGTATCACTATCAAGCATATCGGCCTGTTTACTTACTGTACTTGTAGTTCCGAGCATGTTTTCGCTCTATTCAGCCTTACTTTTTGCGCAATTCCTGCATTATTTTTTTAAGGCTTGCATTACAGCATTGAACTACCCAAGTTGTGAAGTAACATCCAAAGTAGCTTCGTGTCAAATTTATAAAGTTAAAAATCTTATGCTGAAATGTTCATCAGATTAGACATTAAAAATATGAATAAAAACATTTTGATACATCAAAATTTGCTTATGCTTGACTAAATTGTCTGAAAACAATTTCTGTTTCACTTTGTATTATAATTCTTTCCTCAACAAAAAATGGTTGTTTTATAGACTCTCCTTAACAAAAAATACGTAATCGTTTTCAACTGGAAACATTGACACTTTATCATTCAGTGTTTTTGTTTTCTGCTGTATAAAAGATTATTTATTCTTCAATAGGCAATAAATTTTAAATAGGCTGAAAACTGACAGATTAATAAACAAAGGTTCATTATATTAAATAGAATAGATAATAAAATCGGGGTTAAATTTGATTTTTTTTCCCCCAAGTGCATGGTAAGTGCATTAACCCAAATACCATGCTAAATATCTTAAATAGATTTGTTTGACTTAATTGGGACTAAACCATTCATCATTCTAGAGAAAATTACCAAACAACTACTGACTGAACTTGGTCTGCACTAGTTGCATTGATAGATTTGAGCCGCGTCACGACAAAACCAACATAATGGGTTTGCGACCAGCATGGATCCAGACCAGCCTGCGCATCCGCGCAGTCTGATCTGGATCCATGCTGTTTGCTTACAAAGTCTATAACAAGTAGAGAAACTGATAGCGAACAGCATGGATCCTGATCAGACTGCGCGTATGCGCAGGCTGGTCTGGATCCATGCTGGTCGCAAACCCATTATGTTGGTTTTGTCGTGACGCAGCTCATTTAGTTGTAGATGGCTGGATAACGGATAAAAAGTGAGGTCTGTAGGCAGTTATTGTAATATTATTGCTCGGAAATAAAAGCCATCTTCATGCGCATTTTATCAAATAATTTTTAGAGGACAAAGAGGCTAGAATGTTTTACTCTTCAAACACATGCGTTACATCAGAACTGGACTGATTTATGAATTTTTGAAATAAGCTGCTTTAAGTTTGAAATTTAAAAAAAGAAAAATGAGCAGGGTAGTAGTGTTTTATGAAACAACTGATAATCAGACTCATCATAAGTCCTTTTAAATGAAACTGATATATTTATTTTAGGAAATATACAATTTTATGTGTCATTAAAGACAGCTTTGAATTTAAAGTTGGGGGAAAATTGAACATTTTATAAAATTTAATGTTTAATGCTTTAAACTAGATGATAAATTTTATTGTAAGATTATAAATGGTCCGAGCTCAGAACACCAAATCTATAGTGTTATAAGGTTATATAATAAAATGTCATGATATTATATAGTAATTATGTTAGGGGGTGGGGGAGAGTATCAGAGGCTGATCATAAATATGAATGTAATAATGGTAGAACTTGTCAATATTCAAATAATTATAGTAATCTTTTCTCTAGAAAACGTTGACACTTTCCATAATATGGAATAAGGAAGGTCTGACCTTTTGGTAATTGTGATTGGACTTCCAGTCATTGTCAAAGTAAATATTTTTCTATAGGTACATGCAACGTAGTCAATTATAACTAAAAATACCTAAAATGAGATTTTTAGCTTAGTAGATGTATCAAAGTGTAAGTCAGGTTATAAATTACAACTGGTATACAGGTCATAATTGGCACCTGTCCAGATTTACTGATGGAGGAAGACCTCAGATACCACTTTGTGCATCATTTCATTCATGAGCAGGCACCTGAGTAGAGCCTACGAAGTCCTCTAAGCTAGCTGCATAGCTTCCTTCCATGAAATAATCCAAAGTCTTGGACAGGATTCAAACCCATAGCGGTGAGGGGGATGTACAGCTTATGTACAGATACAAATTATTATAAAAGAATACCTCAAGTTTTTGTCAAAATGTTTTAAGAAGATATTTTTTACCTATAAGATGAAAAAGATTGTTATAATGTTTTAGTACGCCTGACGTACTGATGTACAAATCAAAATAATTACGATAGAACATGATCATTGTCTGAAAGACTGACATTTAATTAAAAGAATTGAAGAGATGGTTTTTGACTTCATTATATCTGTAGTGTGAAATTTATTGTTGTATGTTCTAGTCATTATTAACAAGAATATAGAACAAATAGGGAAGGGAAATCACGTATATTTGCTTTGATATCTCCTTTTGATTAACTATATGTATGTTGAGAAGCCCCCTCAAGTTGTATGCTGAGAGGCCCCCTCAAGTTGTATGCTGAGAGGCCCCCCTCAAGTTGTATGTTGAGAAGCCCCCTCAAGTTGTATGTTGAGAGGCCCCCCTCAAGTTGATTAAGGGAGTTGACATAATAAAATCACTTGCCTTTTACTGAAAAAATGGAATTCTTTTATCTGAGAAGCTTGTACAGTAGGTATGGTTAATAATTCTATAAATAGGCTTTGTCTTGGCTAAAACAGGGGCAGAGTAAGATTTTGAAACTTTTACATTCTTTGTATGGCTTGAAACAAACAGAACAATTATTTTTGTAATTGTCCAGAAAATTACTGTAGAAACTTGTAGGAAATACTGAAGTGCGATTTATACTCACATCTCTCTCTCCTACTGGCTTAATCCTTATTAATTAAAGTGAACGGTTACCTATAGGCAGAACTAATTGATATTATTGGTTGTTATGTCAATGTCCTGACATTACGCATCTTTTTTTTATCCATTTTGTAGGAAGTTAGTAATTTCTGGATATATATATACATGAAGAGGCGCTGACCTGTTTGTAGTCATGGATTGACTGAATCATTATCAAATCAGATTATTATCGATCTGTAGATGGAACAAAGAGAAATTTAGTGTCTAGTGAATTGTCCCACAGAGTAATCTGTTGAAGACATCATGTAAATTAGATTTTAGAAAATATTTCACATTGTGATGGAAGAGATAGAGTATGATCATAGAATGAGATCTCTCTTTGGATTTATAAGGTCATGACAATATGATTGTTAGGAATGGAAGCTTACGTTCCTCATGTTAGGTAGATTTTAGATGGTCTGCAAGTCTGCCATTTGTGAGACTACACATGTGTGAGTTGCTCTTGAAGTAATTGATTTTTCTATGTATGTAACCAGTGCAGACCAAGATCACTCATCAGTTGGCAAATCTTTGCTGACAGATCATGGTCTGCACTGTTTGCTATTACAGTACTCGGTACATATTGTAAAAATGGTCCCTAAAAATGATGAATGGTTATGTCCAGATTAAAATTTTGAAAAGTCCATTTAAGTTATTTAGCATGGTAAGGGTTTATGTTTTTATTTTATTGTTAGGGTGATCGTTACGGAATCACTTGGCCATGAGTTCATTTGTTTGAATCCATTAATCCATTAGGTGGCATTGAATTATTGCAATGTGAAAACTTATGAAAGCTTTAGTTTTTCTACTCCAGTGCCCACTCAAGTCCGAAATAATGCATGAAGCCATGGTGAAGTCTTTCTCATGAACCAAGTCTGCAAATGCACCATAATATATTATCAACAACTTTAGATTTATTAACAACCTTGTCAAATAAATAATGTTTACTGTTACTTGAAAGCAAATGTTAACTTATGAAGCAAACAGAATAAAAGATGAGGAAAAGAAATAAATGATTTATTTTGATGTGTCTTTTAAAGGACCCATTGTTGAAAACTGGTTGTTTCAAGTTTCATAAAACAGTTTCAGCTAATTTGATAACTGTACAAATTTGTCATTTCTTGGAAAAGAGTGTCAAGTTATTTCATGCGGTAATTTATAACTTTCATATGTTGCAGTACTCACAGGAATTTTTTTTTTCCATTTAAGTAAATAACAAAATTACCAAGCATCATTATAGCAGTGATTCATGAATGATCAACTTATTATGTCATTTATATTGGTATAATTTTGTGTACTAGATGTCTGTTATGTAAATGTGAAGAAATTGTTTATGAAAAACTTTGATATGTCTTTTGGTATTGTTGTTTTTTTTTCCATGTTAAAATTTTGTTTTCCTTAGCAAGGCTGTACGCCATTGGCCCTTTAATTTCAATATTTTAATGTTGAATACCGTCTGACAAACAATGGACAACCAAATGAATTTAATATTTATATTGTGTATAATTATGTTTCAAAAGAAAAAAAACATGAACTACTAAATTTAGATAAATAATGGCCTTTCCCAGCTTTAAATTTGGCATAATGAGTTGTTTAGATATAAAAATGCTAAAATATGAACAGCTTAGACAGTACATATGTAGTCCTTAGTCAGAATGCACACATGTGAGGTGTGGACTGTCAGGCTCCATACTTGACACATGCAAGCTATTATTGCCATTAACTGCAGTGTTAATTTAAAAATGCCAGGAAAATTATTTATAGTTCCTGGTCAGAATACACACATGTGAGGGCTGGGCTGGCTCCATACTTGACACATGCATGCTATTGTTGCAAGTAACTGCAAAGTGTTACTTAAAAAATGACAGGAAAATTATTTTTGAAAAGAATAAATTTGTAGCTTTCTTAACCAAGGAAAAGTTTTAAGTTTTCTTTTGAAGTTTAAAGTGTTTGGGGAAACTTGCAAAATACAGAACAGTGGAAAATAATCAAAATATAATCAGCTAAAAAAATTGGATAATTATCATTAAGGAAATTATATTTTAAAAAAAATAACTGGTACAACAAATAAACAAATGATGATTGTTTTGTATCTATGTGTACCTTACACATTGACCTTGAGGTCGTCATTCACATTTATCATTACTAATTTGTAACCACAATTGATATGATCAAATGTTTACTGGAAAGGAAATAATAGCATTTTTTTTCTTCAATAAATTGAATTGTCATTGTAGTTCATTTAAAATAGTTCTTCTTAATTTCTACTTTGTGTCTGATGGCAAAGTTTCTCAGTCTGTAAATTTTACCATTTGTGAACAGAGTTGCTCATCATTTATTTGACAAAAAAACGACCAAAAAAGAAAAGAAAAAAGATTTGGGATAGAGGGTTGACAAAACACACATGTTAAAAAAAAAAAGGAATGAAATGTATTGTCAACTGCTTCAGTGTTGAGTTTAAGTATATATGTGAAATATTACAGTCGTTATTAGATAAAAGCGTTATTGTTTTCATTGAGGTATTTTACCTTATCCATTCATTGAGTCAATTAAAAATATAAAAAAAACTCAACCTTTTTAACCTCTGTATAAGAAAATTTTGTACAAGTTACAGTTTGTTACAGCAAATAAAAACTCTGATGTTCATCATTATATAAGTACATTGAGGCCACCTTGTTCATGTTTAATTAATTGGGTCATACTTAGTGTTGGTCTTTGAAAGCTAGGTACATTGTATATCCTTGTTTCATTATTAATTGTTTGATTCACTAAAGTATCCAGGACTCATTATTTTTGGTAATGCTAACAGGGTAGTGTTAATAAACAAAAAAATATTAAATTTAGACCTTAACATGTCAATATCTTTCATTTTGGGAACTGTCATTTATCAATTATTTCTTACTCTGGAATTAAGAATATTTACAAGTGTCCCAACACTCTACTGTTTTGTCAGTTTAGAGACAGATAGTAGGATGGACATGGGAGGAACTTCAGCATGGGCGTTATGTTATGTTAAATGAGAACTTATACAAAATAATTTACATGTTTTGAGGAGACTGTGCAAAAAGTGATGTAATAGAAAGTGCATTTAACCCAGATAAATTATTTTTTACATATTTAGATCTACTTAAGTGTAAAATAAAGGAAGTTATAAATGTAAAATTATACTTATAATACTTAATGCATTCTAAATTGTATCCACTTTGTACCAATTTAATATTAAATAATAATTTTATGGGTTATGCAAAGGGAATTGTGTGGCATTAGGGAAGTTCAAAACAGGAAGTGAGAAAAATGAAACAGTCTATTTATGTCTGATTGTTCCTTTATTTATTTTGGCTTTATATGTTGATTGTACAGAAATAAAAGAAAGAGAGAGTGGGATGGGGGTGCACATAAGGAAGTAGTAATTAAAGAAATTGTTAATTCATAGTAATAAAAAAGCTCACAGTTTTGAATGACCTTTAAATTATTATAATAAACATTTGTTATTATTGTTCAGGAATTATTTTATTTAATACCTTAACGGCTACAGGTATGAAATATAACATCAAGCCTCAATTATGAGGAAAATTAACTCTAGTTGTTATAAAAATATACTATTTACATAAGTGTACTTATGTCCTTATAATATTGTCTCCTTTGTTTAACACCAAGATTACGGAACATTAAGTTCATGGACTTATGTTAGTGTTATGCTCAAATTTTAGATAATTTAGGATATGAGTAATAGAAGATAATTATTACATTAAATTCCTTCATGGGAGGAAGCCTTTCCTTAAATGTATAATTTATGATTATACATAGATGAAGAATATATGAGCTGTTCTCCGCCATATATTCTTGAACTTAAAACTTAGATAAAACAGAGAGAATTTTAAAAAAATGTATGTATACAATAAATTATTTATTTATTTTCTCTTTTTTTCCAATCATTGCAGGAAGTTGAGACTGACCAGTTTTACAACTTTTTCAAGCCGGAGTTAGAGCGAGATGGCTATCAGGGTATATTTTCTCCGAAATCACGTGCCAGAACCATGACAGAGCAGGAACGAAAACATGTCGATGGCTGTGCCATTTTCTTCAGGACATCAAAGTATGTACACTTAGAAAGTTGGAGAAGATCTTCTCTCTTATTGAACGTCTTAACCCCCATTTTAAATAAAAACTTCTTCCCCCAACACTGATGAAAAAGAATTTCCTCTTATTGTAAACAATCAATCAACCGCTCCCCACCCACACACACATCCCTGCCAAGTTGAATTTCATCATATCATCATTCCTAATGAGAAATATATCATGATCTGGCACAAACACATAATTTCATACTATTTTATTCCTTGTTTTGATTGTCACCCATCAAGAAAATGTCTTCTTCATCAGGCTTAATTGTGAATATTTCACAATCCATTGTACAAAGAATGCCACTTTCAGCTTCATTTTCCATGCAAAAAAATGCAACATGGAAATAATTAAATGTCACTTGAATTGTTTTTTCCCCTTTGTTCATTTTAATTAAAACTTCCTAAATGCCAGTGTAGCATTTTAAGAATTGTTAAAGCATTTTAAGAAGGTACTTTGTTAACCATCACCACTTAGTTAATTATCATCCATAACTCATTGTTTTATATACCACCAAATTTCCAGTCATTCTGAAAAAAACTTCTGGCCATAATAACTTGTGTGGCCCTGAATCAATGATCGATTGAGTGGCAAAGTCTGTTTTTGTCCTGTCTTTCTGTTGACAAATTAAACATTGGCCATATCATTAAATGGCATGCATTCATATGAGTGAAGTAAATTCAATAAAAATCGAAACTAAAGAAAAATAAATTTATAGTTTTAAGAAAACGTATATTTTTTTCACAATCCAGCTGAGACTGTGAATGTATAAAGTAATACAATGCACAGAAGAGATTTTACTGTTTATATCACCGAAATTTTACCCCTGTTAATTTAACAGACAAATATAGACATATTTTTACAAGTTAAAAAGGTGATTTCTGTTAATAGTAAGTGCCTGGTGCAAGGTTAACTCAATTTGTGTGCTTAAAATACCAACAATTTATTTATTAGAATAATTATTAAGTTGTCATAAAATTTTAGAGAAATCCTCTGGAACCCTGCCTTAATATAAGCTAGTGCCTTCAATATAAGGACACAATACATATAAACAGGTATATATATAATATTATATTGGTATAACAGCCATGTTTTGTTTAGATGATCATGACCTCTAACCAATGTCATGAAATTTGTCCGTAACTTTGCTAAAGTAACAGATTTTGGACATAGTATTATGTATTTTGTTCTGCTCTACTTCTGACTAAAAGGTTAAATGGACAATTGATATTTTATTCTTTCTAAATGTCTTGTAGGGGGTCAATATGATTAGCCTATTTATTTGTATATTGATACTTGTTATCCACATTTATCATAATAATATTATTTGTGCCAGCAAAATATATGATCTTTCCCTTAGATTGTATGTCAAAGTATGATGTCAAAATACAATCACAGGGTCTCTTCTGTGTCGGATAGTATCATTAATTTATTAGTGACATTTAAGGTTATTTACCAAATTCCAATTGTACTAAATTGTTTTGTTTTGTTGTTTAAGGCAATATCAGGTTCATAAGTAATTGAAGTAAGAAGATGGTTGTTTTTATGTGTGTGTGTGTGTGTTGAAACAAGATTTCATAAGGTCTAGTTGTTTTTATGTGTGTGTGTCAAAATAAGATTTCATAAGGTCTTAAAATGTCGGGGATAATGAAATAAGATTTAAAGTTCAGAAATCTGTAATGCTGATTTAGGCTTGTAAATTTACCTCAATGCTATAAGTACAGAATTAGAAAATAAGCAGAAAACTTAATTAAGTTGTATTTGCTTTAACAAGGGGATTACATGAACCCTACTGTAAAATAATGAAATGGTAAACTTGACAGAAACATGCAATGCTAGAGAAGTCAGTTAATTAAGTCAAACTTTCCCTGCAATGTTATATTTTCATGTTTAGTTATTTTATTGTGACATTTATGTGGATGTAGACATTTTAACCTATATGTAACATAGGGGGAAGATGGGAGTTAATTTTACATAGTGCTCTTTTGAAGTTTCTTTTTTTTTTTTTGCTTTAATTTATAATGCTTGTCCTGTCAACCATTTCAGTTCAATATGGAGGTTTGGTTTGAGATTATATTGGAAAGTGATATTTCTCTCTTTTTTTTGCTTTGTTTGAGAAGATACAAATAAATGATTCTGAATCTGTTATAAGTACCCTTAGTTGTTCACTGCAAATATATTTTTAAAATATCACACAAAGATGTTGACATTTACTTGTTGATTAACTTGGGTAATAAGTTACCTGCCTGCCAGTATATGACTAAATACGGTTCTGAATGTCCTAAAAAGTAGTGAAATTAAAAACCATAAAGACAGTGTAAGATAATGGGTCATAATATAAAGGTCAAGGTTCAAGGTCATAGAAAGATGTTATTGATTCTTAGATTATTGATTGATACAGATGTAGAATTGTTTAATGGTAAGTTTTCACAGTTCTTAGATTTATGTCTCCACATTGAGGTAACAACCATTTAAGCAACGATCATCTTTTGAACAACCAGTTATATTGATAATGTCATTATTATATTGAAGGTCACTAGAAGACATGGCAGTATTTGACAGAGCCGCGTCACGACAAAACCAACATAATGGGTTTGCGACCAGCATGGATCCAGACCAGCCTGCGCATCCACGCAGTCTGATCAGGATCCATGCTGTTCGCTATCAGTTTCTGTACTTGTAATAGGGTTGGTAAGCGAACAGCATGGATCCTGATCAGACTGCGTGGATGCGCAGGCTGGTCTGGATCCATGCTGGTCGCAAACCCATTATGTTGGTTTTGTCATGACACGGCTCATATGTTTATGATAATTTCATTGTTCTTGTACATCTCAAAACAAATGTACAAAGATATAAGTCATGAAGAAAGGGAATCCAGATGAAAAGTTATGAATTGACCATAAACTGAAATTACTTGAGCTTGTATCTATTTTAAATGTTAGAAGATACTTATCTGTCATAAATGACACAATGTATTAACACGATGTATTGACATGATGTATTGGCATGCATCTTTAACATTGCTCCACTCTGCATTTGATTGAAGTATGGCTGAAGTTTTTTGTATTTAAGGAAATGTCAAAGTTCATACTAAATTGTCTTAGTACTGTAAGTAGTGTAGGATGAACTTGATTTATTGATGTTTCTTGTTTTAGAAAGATGTATAATATTTGTCTAAATCGCATATTGGTATAAAAATGGAATAAAAATGTATTGAAAAGGTCAAGACACCTTGTTTGGATGGCATAAATAAAATGTTCAAAAATAGTTCTTTGATGTATGATGTGAACCTATTATTGATTTGAAACAAAAATTATGACTTTCTTCCTTTGGATTGGGTATTTAAAATCGGACTGTTTCGATACAGTAGTTACAGGTGTCATTAAGGCGGCAGAGCCAAATGCTTCAAATCATTATGGCCGCTCAAATAGAAAAGCTTGTTATGATATAAACAGAAATGCCGCTCAGTTAAACAACCTTCTGCAAAATGTTATGAAACCCTGGTATAAATAATATATATTGTTTTTTTAAAAAAATATATATATATATAAATTTTCATGTATATTATGGTTATAAAAAAGAATTTAAATTTTAATGACTATCTGAAAAGATGCTCTTTAAGTATGATATATTGAGGAAATAATTGAAGATATCATTATTATGCATGTTGTAGGTCATAGGTCAAATTGTCTAGACGCCATATGTTGTTTTAACTGAACTTAAAAAAATGGGGCAGTGGAAAATAGAAAATAAGTATTTCTCATTTAGAAATGATAGTCAAATAGCATTTAAAATAGGATAATAATGCCCTTATATAGCTATAAGAATTATAAAATATTATGAATTTCTGTTCCAATGGCAATTTTTTGTTAAAAGCATAATTATCTTCATCAGGGCCGGAATAATCTGATTTTTACTTTCTTGTCCGTTTTAATTTGAAGCATTTCTTAACTTGTCCATATAATATTTACATAGTTTACTTCTGAAAATTTCCACCTGTCCATACAGGCTGTGGGACAACTTTGGCAATACAAACAATTGATTTTGCCACCCCTGTCTTCATATGGATAGTAGGTAAGAATGAGGGCTTTAATCTAGGGTTTGCATAGATTAAGGCTTTTAAAAAAAAAAAAAACACATCTTTAGGGAAAGAAAAGGAGAAAATGTTGTTTCGCAACTAGAAATGATTTTGCATTAACTTGATAGAAAATGTCAAAGACTTGAACGGTTGATAAAAGGATGATGAAAAATAGTTGACAGAATAGTGATATAAACAATCTCTGAAAGATTATATTAGTCAAAAATGTTGGCGTTTAAGTACCTACAAAAATTATGACATGTTTTTGCATCATTCTTTGTAAAATACACATTTTACACATTTTTCTGAAGAAATATGTCTTAATATGGATGGTTCTATGCACCTAATTCTTTCACACTAATGGATAATGTCAAAAGAGACGAATGTTTTGTAACAAAAAAACAAGGAAGACTCTTAAAAGTAAGATAATAATTTACTAAAAATTAATGTCATCATACACAGATTCTTGAGTGCATTATGGAATATCTTACATGATGGAATATATCTCTTGATATTATGACAGTTAAATCTGTGTTTTCACACATATCAAAAAAAATAATGTCCTGATACCTCCTCTTCGAGTGAACTAACGAGATAATGTATATTTTGATTACTTCCCTTGCTAGAATTCAAGAATATTTGACAACGGAACTTTATTTTGCATAAAAAAACAAGTTATATACACATTATATTTTAAACATAATTATAGGAATGTTAAATTTATTAGATAAATGTTCGTAATGATTTTATAGTTTCATCAGGTTCTATAACCCTTCATTAACCGCTAGCAGCAGCAGCATATTCTACCCTATGTGACCAGTGCAGACCAACATCAACCAGCACATCTATGTACAGTCTGATCATGGTCTGCACTGTTCGCTATACAGTCAGTACATATGTATTAAAATTTCCCCTTAAAATGATAAATGGTTTTGTTCAGATTGAAAGATTAACAAATCAATTTTAGATATTCAAGAGTTCTCATTTAAATGTATGAAAAGTTCCTTTCTTGAAAGGAAACCAGGCTGTTATCAAGATTTCAATCAAATACAAGCTTGCTGAATGATCCCTATAGATCAGTCGAACGATTTCCTGATAGATTCAAAAGCTTCTGAATATTTCTAATATTTCATGATAATGTTATTCAAGTGAATGCTTTGTAACCTCAGAACTGTTAATATTTAATGTGACACTTTCCATTTGAACGCATTTTCTGAAAGAGAGAATATTTCCTTATGTGAAAACTACCTTTTGTATCTAACTTTATCCTTATAGAATGTTATGTTAATAGAAGTAGTATTAGAGTTTTGAACTTTATGTTATACTATATAAATGAAATTTCCGGCTTTAAATATTTATATAAAGTTTATCCAGGAACTATTATAATACTGTAGTAACCTGTTCCGTAAAAAAAATTATGAGAACATAAATCGAAAGGCAAGGGGACACTCAACAAAACATTACCCCCTCAAACACAATACAGTCCCATAAGTCTAAGAAGTTATAAAGATACAACAACCCAAACACTTTGTAACTTTTTATTAACCCCTACCATGCTAAATATCTTAAATGGACTTGACCATCTTTAAGTCTTGGCAAAAACCATTCATCACTTTGAGAGGAAATTTCATGATATTATTTACTGACTTAATTAGTGAACAGTGCAGACCATGATCAGATGTCACAGAATGTTCTGGTCGATCTTGGTCTGTGCTAGTTGCATTGGTTTAAAGCTGTTGCGATAAGGCAGGCAGGGAGTTAATCATCTCATATTTTTAAAGCTACATGCCTCCAGATGAGCCAAAATATTTCAAGAAAATTAAAGTTGAGAAAAATGTACTAAGATTTTAAGGAAATTAAAAAAGTTCAAACAATAATTTACATGTTATGTAGGATTATGGACTGATTTTGCTGTATTTATCACCATATTTCTACTGTGTGTTACTTACACAGTAAAGGGCAAATTTTGCTTATATTGAAGTCTTTTGGGTAATCTATATGGGTTGCAAGTGCTGATTGCAATGTGTAAATTATTTTATATGTTCAATTCACAATACTCCACTTTTATATACATTTTTAAAATTTTCATGAAAATTTGCACGATTCTGCTGGGGGCATGCTGCTTTAAGTCAAGGTTTTACAATATCTGTTTTCTGAGAATTTTAACAAACATTCAAAAAAAGTATACTTGTCTGTTATAGTGTTAATAAACATGCACCGGGTATATCTTTACATTTATCCTGCATTTGGGAAAACTTTCTATTTTGAACTTAAATTCATCAAATAAAGTTATAAATTCAGTGCACACACACGGGGGTTTCCGTTTTCAGTTACATTTACATGAGAAGTGTGATAGCTTTTCCTGTCTTAATCAGAGTAAAAATAAAAAAATACACATACCAGTGCTATTTTCAGGATAGATTTTCAGATACAGTTGATATAAATTGTATAGCTGTAAATTGGTCAGTAAAAAGTAAAATTTGATTGCATTAAACTGTATGTACAGAATAAGATTTCAGAAAAAAAAAACCTTCACTTTGTTAATTTTCAGTGGTTTTTCTTACTTTATTGGGAAGAGGCCTTAGCCTCTTGATCTTGTCAAAAAGTTACCAGTAAAATTGCTAATTTGGGAAGTAAAAAAGCTACATGAATTTAAAGAAAATTTAAATTGGGGAAGAGGGTTTTATAGGCCTCTGTTTTTAAGGAGGAAAATCACTGATTTTGTTGTATTGAAGAAACACTTAGTTCTGGTTTAAGTTTGGAAATGTTCATTTTTACTGTAAAGGATAGCAGTATTAGAATTAACGGTCAACTCTATAAAATGTAGTGAGACTAAGTGACCTTGCTTGATGTTCAGCCTTTATATTAATAGGTTAGACAAGTCATTGATGTGTTCAGTTTTTCAAAAAAAGTAAACTTAATTGTTTGTTTCAGATTTAGCCTTGTTAAAGAGCACCTTATCGAGTTTAACCAGTTAGCGATGGCAAACGCAGAAGGTTCTGACCAGATGTTGAATCGGGTCATGACCAAAGATAACATTGGACTTGCAGCATTACTTGAAACTCATGAAGGAGTTTTCGACAGCAGTGGTAAGTAATTATACTAAAATAATCCAAAAATTTTATAGGTTTGGCCTTATTTGTGCAACTCTAAAAAACAAAACAATTAACAACTGCCAGTGCATTGATATGTACAGTTATTTATGTCCTTTTTTGCCCATATTTTCAGTGGAACTGCTTAACCTTATTATAAGTATTTGAAAATTTAACTTGAAAGTCGAATTTAAAAATTGAATTGAAAATTATAATTAGAAAACCTTATAAAAGTTTCACCTTTTCCCAAATATAAAACATGGATTGAATGTCTTGAAAAAAAAAACCACTTAGATCGACAGCCTTTTAATTTGTAAAAAAAACCAACAACATGAACACGCGACTAAAATGAACGTGTGACCGCCAATATGAAAGCATGATTACGTAACACATGTCAGAGGGACTAAATCTTCCATTATTATAATCGAGATTAAGGTCAATATAGGGCAGCTTAAATATTAAAATAATCCGCTTTAACATTAAATTGAAAAGTGCACAATGGTATTGCTTTCATATTTTCATGAAATCATTTTAAACAGCTTATTTTTGTTGTTAATATCTTCAAGACGCCACCTATGATAATCAAATGTCAGCATTAAAAAAATTAGTATGCATATAAAATTAACCTTGTCAAGTATGTAGTAGTACAAATCTACTAGTAAGCTTCACTAATGAAGTTGAAGACCTTTTATTATAAGATTACTATATAAGCTCTAATGACTATTAACCTGCAGTGATTTATGCAAGCATTGGTAGTTTTGTTGTCTGATTTAATTATTTTGATTTAGAATGGTGTTTATGTTGACAGATTGTTTTCAAGCATTTTTCAAGTATACACAGTTCGTATACTGTCTGAACAGTATATGCTGTCACCTCTTTATAAAGTGGTGATTCTGGGCAGGAATAAATTCCACCATGTTTTTAACTTGACCACCATTGAACATGGTTTGTGGCCAGTATAATGCTGACTGGTATTGATAACTTGATAACGGTCATCAGCAAAATGATACAAACATCATGTCTTGTTTTATCAATGTATATGATATTCATTGCAACCTGTATAAAGTGACCCACCTGTCTACAATGGCCATTCTAGCTCAATCTGCTTGCTGACCATCATAGACAAGTTAGACTGTATGTACAAATTTTGTGCAGTTGATTTTATTTTCTTAATAACTATGGTTTATTTAAGTTCTTCAGTTCTTAATTACACACACAATTTTTTTTAACATTTAGTTGACCATGTTGTTAAAGTGGCCGACAAGAGTTTAGATATTGAACAGGAAATTTTTGGCCATGAAAATGGATCCTGTTGCATTAATGTTATGCCTGTAGGTTTTAAGAAAACGTAACATAAAAAAAGACAAATAAGAATTACTTCATGTGAAATAACCAAATTAAATAAATGCAAAAGCAAGCAATTATCCTTCTGCATCACTGCAGAAATTGTAATTTGATCTTACAAATTTGCTGCATGAATGATCATTCATGGATAAAAAGGGGTATTGGGTTACTTATGCACATATTTTAAAAGTAAATGAACTGTCTGTATATGTAGGTTTTCAGTAGTATAGTTTCTATTGACCCTTTAATGCACGGGTGAATTCCTCCAAGGTGATTTATAAATTTGGGTAATTTAAATCTTGAGTTTTAATATAGGTTATATAATGTAGGTTATGCTATTTTTTGTGATATTTTAACTTGACTGTCCGTAGATTGTGGAGAATTATGATATTCACGTTGGTGTTGGCGTCACATTTTGGTTAAGTTTTTGCAGGTTGGTATCTCTAAAACTACTGAAGGGAATGGATGGAAACTTAGCATACTTAATTGAGGGCATAATAGGTCATTTTCTATGGCCCCGTAACTCTAACATCTATTTTGACAGATGTATGGCCCTGTTTGAACAATCACTAGAACAATCAAGCACAATGTCCTACTGGCAGCTGTTGTTTTACATTTATTTTTTGTGAGAAATAAAAAAAAAGAAATACACGGTAGTTCAGAAGACATAAAATGGATTTTCACAAGCAATATTAAGATTCAGATTGTATTGCATTATTCTGTTATAAGTAAGAACTGTGTTACGGTCATGACCTTTTTGCACTAAAATAATCCAACAATTTTAACCGCATAAAGGGTGGTTTCTTACTGTCAGGCCTGAAATATGATGAGATATAGTGAAAATCTTCAAGACAAAAACATATAGTATTACGTGAAGTTTAGTATTTCATGAAGTTAAAATATGACCACTTGTAAGTGTTCCTGCACTTAATGAAGCCAGAAGCTGTTGCAATGGCATAACTACAAGTAATAAATACAGTCCTTACAAGTTTGATGCAATATCATCGTACCTTGTAAGATTTCAAAGAATAAGTTAGTGCAGTGTTAAGATGAACATTCAACTTATCAATCTTACTTACTGGGGCTTTATGCACTGTCACATTGCATAGAATGAGTAGCTTAAAAGAAGCATGCTGAAGTATAAGAGGTTTACATAAACGATGATAAGACTCGTGATTTTGTATTCATGACTGTATAATCCCTCCTATATAAGAAGATTATTAAAACGAAGCAATATGTGGTGAGGTCAGTGACATATTTATTTACGTCAATAAGAGAAAGTAAGAGACAGAAAGTAGTCTTTTTTGGAATTAATCAGATTTTGTTGTTACATTGTCTTTATTTAATCCTGCGTCTCTGCTGTTCTGTAGTTAAATCATCCAAAAAAATTAAAGCACAAAATATGTTTTAAGTTAACCACAATCTGAAAGGTTCTAATTATGTATACAAATAGAAACAATAAGAACATTGTGGTGTTTGTTAATTTGATGTCCCCATGTGTAGTTATGATTGTCATTTCGGAAGCTGTGACATTAATCTATGTGTTGGTGTAGCAGATGATAATGATGATGATGATGATACTGATGACGTTTATGATGATGATACTGATGATGATGATGTTGATGCTTGATTTATGGTTTCATTGAGCCTGGTGGTGGTTTGGCTGATAATATTGATGATGATAGTGATGATTATACCATGGTCAGTAACCTTAATGACCATGGTCACACCATGGTCAGAAACCATGTTTGTGGCCATTTAACATAACATGGTCAACCATGGCTAACCATGACCTGTGAGCCATGTTAGTTCATGTTATTTCATGATAAAACATGATACATTTCACCTGGGTAATTTTAAGGCAAACTTGATAATTATTATGATTTATCAAAAAAAAATAAAAAAGTGTGTCCTTCACTTAAAATTACTAAATTTAATTGATATCTTTGCATTTAAATTAAATGTGACCATGGCCTTGGCTCCTATAACAGCAGTAAAGATTGCTTTAAGGAAATATAGTAAGACATGAAGACAAAGTCTCTGAGCAACATTTAATAAAAGAATGTGGTTAGAAATATGTTGTGAAATTGTTTTAGGTTGCTGCAGTTGTTGACAAAGTTAAACTGGGTTTATTTGATTTTGTCGTTATTTCCTTGTTGTTATTGATCCCAGTTCTAGAATTCACATATCACATGTTTTCTTGTTTCAGATGATATTTTAATATGTTGTGAGAGTAGCACCTGCGTAAATGCTCACGTATTTAAGTTCTGCTTGTATTTGACCAAAAGATCGCGTAACTGAAAAAACAAAACAAATTATGAAAAATAGAATAAATAACGAAATGTGAAAAAATGACAAACATGTCCGCAAAATTCTATATAAAATTTAAAAATTAATTTGCTTTGTGCACATTAAAAAACATGCAAGCTATTATTTTTCCCAGTTTTATATGTTATTTTCTATGATTTATTGGTCAGATTTTGTTTTATATGGTCTTTTTTTACTCGATAATATATCAAAAGAGGAAGTTAAAATACCGGCATTTAGTAAAGTTTTAGGTTTTTCTCTTTTTGGTTTTATTTGGAACTGGTTTTTACCACAGGGTTATGTGTAACTAGGTTATGATAATAATAATACTTGTCAACATCTCATGTAATGTACATTCGGAAGTTAAGTATTCTGCAATTATATAATAATGCAAATGATCTCATTTCCCTTACAAATCTCAAAACAAATCACAATTCGCAAATAAATTGATACTGATATTAGTTTGATATGGTTATCTATAATTTATTATGCCAAAAGCATGAATACATTGTACTTTAAGTTGATAAGATGCTGTTTTCATGGTCCATTGGCAAAAAAAATAAATTATGTGATAATCATCTGAGAAAGTTAACCTAGAAAATCACAGTTTGGAAAAATGATATTTATCAGTTGTTAGTATGACCTTAAAAAGTAAAATTTGCTGTAAGTTTTTCTTTGTGTTACCACTATAGAATAAAATGTTGTGTGATTAAGGTTATTGCTGGACTTCGGTCACTGTTCTTTTGTGACATAAATGAACACTAAGCATATTTATTTAAGTATGTGGTTATAAAAAAAAAACTTTGGGGGAAAAAAAAAAAAAAAAAATATGTAAATTTTTATCATCTGATAAAGTTATTTTTGCAAAGGAAAGGGTGTGTTTATTGCACACTGTTAAATACATTTTCTCCTGGGGATGTGATAGGTGCATACGTTTTGCATGGTAATTGTTACTTACTGGTATATACTTTTCCCCACTTCAGGTTGATACTTTTATCAAAAGAAATCAAATTTCACACAGTCATAGTGTATCAAATATTTGCTGTCATTTGGTCTATTTTGTCCATACATGTACAGTAAATGCTCATTTTTATAAGGAGGACAAAAAGTATTAAAATTTATTCATGTTTTTCCAGCAGCCATGTCATACTATGTCATGGGTTACTTCCCCTGAAACTGGTATAGTGATTTTAAAGAGAGAATAGCTATGAAAAGGAAATAATTGTTTGTTTGTTTCATTTTACGCCTTTTTCCAACAGTATTTCAGTCATATAGGCGGGTAGTTTCCTAACCATCGTTCCTGGAGAGTTACACCAGTACTAGACTACCTGCCTCCGCGCTAAACTACCAAAGCATCTCCCGGGATCGAACCCACGCCAGAGAGGTAACTGGATTAGAAGTCATTGACTCTAACCCCTCAACCACGGAGGCGGTTAAAGGAAATGATTATTCACAACTAAAATATAATATTCTCCTCTAAAACACATGGCAAGAACCATTATAAATGACAATAAAACAGTGGCGGGGTGTCCTTTACCTGCTGGTTTTATTTTGATTTTTTCTATTGGATGATTTAATTCAATGTACCAGTAATGACATTTTGCATGTTCTGTAGATTATTATAATTATATCCTTATTAATTTAATGTTTTATTTTCAAATGGAAGGCAATAATTTACAAATATAATCATTAGTAAAAGGTAATATAACCTGAGTTATGATGATAGAAAGAAGTAAATGGCATGAAAATGTGACAATTTATATTAATATGACAATAGCAAAGTAATGAAAAAACTAAAAAAACTGACAACACATGTGTACCATGCTGTAATAAACGTGATTTAGAAAAATGATAATTTGCTGTCAATTGTATTGAATACCTCATTTAATGTTGATAATTGAACTAAACATCTGTCTATGCTGACGTTTAATTTTGCACATATGCTGAAAAAAGTTACAGCAGGTGCTTGCTGTATTACTTGTAGGATTGGTTTGAGAAAGTTATTAAGTTTATGTTATGAGAACATGTTTGGGAACAAAGCTCAATGTATCATTTGATTGGCTAAGGGTTAAATTAGTTCCAATTAGCTTTGAATCCTTTCAATCATAGGAAGTAAAGTTCATGATTGAAAATTGGGGGTAGGGGCAGTGAGGGGGTGGCGGCAGTGGATTGGGGGGGGGTTGTATTGCTCCAGCATAAATGTTAAACAGTTTTACGCACATGATACTCTGCTGTCGGTGCGATTTAAGATACAAGAAGTCTTCCTCCAGTGGGAGAGTCAAACAAGTTTTTATACCTAATGGCTTAAAATACAAGGACACTTACTTCAGCATAAATGTTGAACAGATTTGTACATCTGATTCTGTGTGTATGTGACTTAAGACATCATTGTCAAATTATATTCTTTGTAATTCTTATTGCAAGTCAATGAAAGATATAGTGTGGAAGGCCTGTGAGTTCCAAATGGATTAATGTTGCTATGAGAGTTTAAATCAATGATCAGACAAAAGTAAAGAAAATAAGTATGAAGACATGCTTCTGTAACCTCATTTATCAATCACATATTAAGAGAACTGTTTGTGTTCCACTTTCCACTTTGAGAGGTCCATGTATTTATATTGAATGTTCTCAATTCTGTCCACATTTGAATGCTCTAGTTATTTGTAATTTGGTTACAGATATTAAAAATTAAATGTGAGCGACAGCTTGCAGACTGAATTCATTATTATGTATAATTTTTTATTTTATAGGCCATAATCAAGTGAATTTATCAATATAGAATGTATGTATCTTGTATAGCATAAGAAATATACGACATTATTCTGAGTGAAAAATTAAAGAATTAAATCATTCTTGGCAACTAGTCCTATAGAAAAACTCTAACATTGAACAGTTCTATTTTTGGGATGTTTTTCTTTTTCAAAAACAAAGTCAAATAATGGTTAAAAGTATGATTTTAATCTGAGTATTTGTGGAAAAAAACCACTCCAAGACTTTCTGTATGGGATGGACACAAGTCCCATTATGTAGGCCTAACTACGGCTCTTATACAAAGACATTTTCAATGAAGTATAGAAAACATCAGGGTGTATACCTTAATAAAGTCTACCTTTCATCTTAGTCTGAGGGCTAAGATATTCAATATAATGAAAGTTAAAAAATACAGTATGAATATAATGATGTTATCTGTAACTTTTAAGGACAGAAAGTTAACCACATATTTAAAGTTAACCACATTATACCTAATGGTACATGAGAAATTTACAAGTTATGAGATTTATCAATCTTAACAAATGTAGGATTCTATGATTTTCTTTAAGAAACTTGAATATTATTTTAATGGCATGACATCCCCACTTTACGTTTAAATATTGAATTTTACGTAACTGTTTGATTCTTAAACTGCAACTGACTCTTAGCCTTGCAACCAGTGCAGACCAAGATCTGCACATTTGCGAACCTTTTCTGTAAACGTGATGAATGTCTAGATTGAAGGATGTACAGGCCCTTTTAAGATATTTAGTGTTAGAATTGTTAAAAGTGGATTTTTTTATTTATATTGAGATTTAGCATTAACGTGAATCAGTATATCTTGTAACCGCTATGTATGTAATATACGGATTTTATGACGCAAATTTATCCATAATATTACGGCAATAAAATGATGTCAGTAAAACCACATCAATCTCGTTGTTAATCCTCTTGTTTCATTTTTTTTATGTTGACAATCTTCTGCTTAATATTCTGGAAAATAATAATAAGCTGAGTATTAATTGTTGATGCAATTAAGGCATGCAATGTGCACTTTTAGTCGAGGTAATTATTTTGCGTTCTGAAAGTTTTAAAGGATGATTAACGATGATTATTACGCCTTGATATTCCTGTATAACGTATAAGGAAGTAATTCCGGTTTTTACCTTAGAATACAATCTCTTTAAGTTTTATTGTAGCATAATAAAGATCTTATTAATAATTTATTGATTGGTTTTTATTGTTAATAAAATGGAGGGCAAATATAACAAATTATGCTCCTTAACACCTGATCTTACATAATATCATTCTTTTCAAACTTGCAAATTTGTAAAGATAATAAACATTTCTATAACTTACCTGTATAATATAGTCTGCTGTATGACATGGAAAAAAAGATAACCTGACAGAAAAAAGTCTGTATTGCACATGTGATGTATAAAAAATATATATACATGTACAATGTATATACATGTATATATAAATGTTTGTTTTTCTGAAGAAGGCTTAAAACAACGTTTGTTTTTATTTAACAGCTTATACACTTGATGTATTAGATGCAGGCATAGTTAAATTCATTTCATGCCAAATTCAGGTTTTAGGAGTGAAGATACATACTTACATAATCCAAAAATATTTGACTATTTTATAAAGGATCTTCTTATATTTTACCCCCTTCTCTTTTGTAGACTTGGTCACATGTTCTGTTTTGTTTTCATCACACAATAGTTCTTATATTGATCTCTTTTTCTCCCACACAGGTGGTCTCCCTCCAGAGGGTAAGATCAAGCAACCCCTGCTTGTAACGACGGCTCACATGCACTGGGACCCAGAATTCTCCGATGTGAAACTGATTCAGACGATGATGCTCATGTCTGAACTGAAGAAGGTGGTAGAAGAGAGCTACCAGGTTATACGTCCAGACATTAATGGACAAACTGTTGATTGTAATTCCATACCTATGATACTATGTGGTGATCTCAACTCTCTACCGGAATCAGGTACTTGTTAACTTGTTTTCTGAATTTTTTTTCGCCATGTTTTAAGTCCATTAAATTTTGTATAATGCATGTATTTGATCTGTAGATATTGATTTTGTTAGGACAAAAAGTAGAGCTGTTTTCATGACCTCAAACTCAGGTCTCGGGTTTGAGTGGTTAGAAATGGACACAGAGCCTACCTTGACCAAAAACTCAGAAAAAAAGCTTCATAACCTCAAGGGTTTGGCTCCTTGATTTTTCAATATTTTGTTATAATTCAATGTACTCCATTAAGTGATGATGTTGAATAAAATTCAGTTCAAACTTGGAATTATTGTTCATGAAAAGGCTCGGGTATTGGAAATATTTGTAATGCTGACTCAAATTTTGACAGATTGAAATTTAACATTTATTCTTGGTGAGATAAGTACTATTCTTTGTACAGACATCTCTAGATATATATATATTTTTTCAACATTACAATGATATCCTGATTTGTTTTTTAAGTGCAAAAACATTATACATGTTTACTAAATATTGCAAAAGTGTGTACCATAACTATCCTGTTTAACTCGTTCGCAATATGAATTCTTTTTGCCTTTTGTGTCAATAGTTATTATATTACTAGGGTATTTTTGCCATTGTCATATTTATTATTATGTTCTATAACAAAGTTGTTTGGCATTTAGAAACAAATTTTGGCGCAATTTCATAGTTGTTTTGTTTTTTTTTAATAAAAAAAAAAGAATAAAAATAAAAAAAATAAAAATATAGTCTAAGGCATATCATGTGAATAATTTCATAAATTGAAACTAGTGATTGTGTCATGCTAGAGTAGTTAAATACAAACATTGGGGGCTGATGTTAGCTGATCTCCATGCAGTATCTGATTCATTTTCCATGGCTGCCTAAACTTTATGAGCTAGTTTAATGGATTTTGTTCAAAATAAGTGTAGAAAAGTAAAATTTTACACCTACTGCGAAGATCATTATAATATGATTATTGACAACTATTTTTTCTTAGTGAATTGCGAGCTTTCATTTATTTGTCTTTTTTTTAATTTACAACATTGCTGTATTAAGTTATGCTAAATAATGCAAACACACATTTAAATAATTCTGTTTGAATCGCCCATGGTGGGCGAGAAACGTTTAATTTGTCTGGAGCATATCTTCTACATGGATGGAGGGATTTGAGTTTTTATATATGATACATAAATTTAAATGTTCACCATCATGAGAAAGTGTCTCAAACGTGAATTAAATGTCTAGGTCAAAGGTCAAGGTCTTATTTGGTTCAGTCAAAGATGCTTGTCTGCAACAAAACTTCTACATACAATTGATGTCAATGTTTACCATTGTTAGGGGGAGTATCATATCAGTTTTTGTGGTCAAGATGACACATAGAGGTGAAAGTCTGATAAAAATATGAAAAAAGTGTTTGCAGACCTTTTTATTATCATGAATTGAAAAAATGTTGACCATCATGAAACTATTTAAAGCATAATCTAAGTGTCAAGTCCATTTATGTAAATACAACATACTGGAGATAATGAAATGTCCTGATTTTGTCCATGCCATATCTTATACATGCATGAATGCATTTTAGTATGACATGATACAAATGGACACCATCAGTGTTGCCCACTTAAACTACCATATGAAAGTAGGTCAGATGTCAAGGTCATACATAGAGGTCAAATGAAACTCTCTGTAGCACATCTATGCAAAATTAGAGCCTTGTTGCTCTTGTGATATGAACATTGTGTGACATGGTGACACTTTCTTGAATTATAATATCTTAGATATTTCTTGTGCTATTTTGTTATTGATTAGAAGGAAAATGCTTACGTTTTTACTTAATGTGTTAGTGAATACTTAAAATAACTATTTCTCAAGAAGCAGTATTTTTAGTATTCAATATCTCTCCATTTGCATGTGAGACTATGTAGTTTTTGTGCTAATGGCTCTTGAACACGAAATCACATGTTGAAAATGTTCTGTTCTTTGCTCTCGGATTACATTGATTATGAGGATTTTTACATTTTCTTTTGTCTTCCCATGTTTTTCAACCCAGAATTTCATATTGATTTTTGTATATGTAAAGTACAAGTATCACTCCTTTTGTTCTTTTAACTAGATAACCAGTCTTGCCTGAAAACTTTAGTTCCAACCTAGTAAACTGGAATATTACTCTTTTCTTATCTGTTCATAGAACTTGTGTAGAAGTATAGTCCGCTGAGGAAAATAGAAAACCAGCCTGGTGAATAAGTGTTCCAGTCTATTAATCTTTTAAACCAACTAAAGTACAATAATAAACAAGAAATCAGTCAAGTGAACCACACCTTACACTGCCGGAAAAGAAAATAATTAGCCTTTGCCAGCAGTATAGGGGCTGGTCTGAGACATAACTTCTGTGAAGGCTTACCAGGCTCTATACTTTTGGCTGACCAAATTCAAATTTTAATCTTGATATCCCTAAAATTGATAATGGACTGTCTCAAAAATGGAACCTGGACTGGTCCTTCTAAGAAATTCAGAAAATTAAAGGCTATGGTACCAATCTGTTCTGGTTATACAAATAATGTACCAGTTAAGTGTACTAGAATACCAGTCTGTATAACTGAAATGCCAATCAGGTTTACTAGAATGGTTATCGGTTGTGCTTATATTCAAATAATAATACTTGAGTACCAGTTTAGTGAATGAATGTACATGTACCTGTTTAATTCATAAAACTTCATTATTAATGTTGTCAGCATGTTACTTAACTTACTTGTACTTTATATCAAAATAAGAGGAAAATGGAGAAGTTCATCACATCAAAACCAAACTATCTAATGGTTTTGGTTTTATCAAACTTTAATCAGGGATTTTACTTTATATATTGTGACTATATTTACAGGTGTAATCGAGTATTTGTCCACTGGTCGGGTTGCCAGCAATCATACAGATTTTAGAGAAATCGGCTACGAGGCGTGTCTTCAAGTGTTTAATAATCATAAAGAAACTAGAGAACTCATGCATAAATTCCGATTAGCAAAGGCATATGAAGACAACATCATGAGACACACAAACTATACGTAAGTGAAGGGAAAATATTATAAGCCTGACAATATGTGGCATTGTCTTAAAAAATGTTAGAATAACGTTTTTATATAATCGATAACTATTCTATATAATTTTGTAATCATTATCTTGAATACAATCTAATTTTGCTGGAAATATCGGCATAGAATCTAGATCTACATTTTAATCTAGTTTAGACCCTAAATGGACTTGTCCAAATTAAGATTGGGACCGATATACAAAATTGCAAGGTAAAAAGTTCATAAGTGAAGCAGTCAAAAAGAAGTCTAACTTGCAGTTTGGCCAATCTGTGTTGTTAACTAGTGTCAACTACAAATCTAGAAGTGCTGTTATTCAGCTATAATTGCTGTGACTGTGTGATTAATTAACAAATGACATTTGATAAATGATGTTTGTTTAGAATCTGAGAAGGTGCTGTAATACGATGCGGTATTAACAAGCTATCTGTTGTATCGTGATTGATATTGCAGTGCATGGAAATAAAGAAAATGTAAAATCTGAATTATGCAATAAAACTTTGTATGGCAACAGCTTTTTTGTATTATATGATTATAATAGTTCGCTGGTATTAAAGATACAGGTCAGTGACGTATATGCTGAGTCGTGTTTCATGAAAAATTGTTTGGTTTTACGTAATGATTCCGTACAGTGTCATAATGTAATGTTTTGAAGAAAAAAAATGGGTTGTTTTGTCTTTAGTTTTAACGTAATGGACCTGTGACAACTCAGAATTGTTAATAATTTGATATTTTTTGTGAGGAAGTATTTTATTTCTTGTTGTTGCTATAGTGATGAAGTGTTATTTTTCTAATATAAAAGCAGTTGGCATATTGGTAGTTCTGCAACTTTGATTAATTTTGATATGTGTATCATTTTCCTAGGTCTTTGCATTTTACCTTGATTTATTTATAAAAACCACACCCAAATAGCTTTATCAAAATATAGAAAAATGATACTATTCAATTAAGAGTACGTACTGTCTCTTAATGACATTATAAGAAGTTATTTTTGACTTTAAAAGCATCTAAAAACTCAGAAATGCAGCCTTTTATTAATTAACATGGTACCATATGCGTGTATGACCTAGCAATATGATATGTTTCACTTTTTACATATTAAAGAACTTTTATTATATTAGTTGAACATCTCATTATAGTAAATGCTGTGTTTAGTTTGTTGAATATTAGAGGTTTTATTTCCATTTCAGATTTGATTTTAAGGGAATCATCGACTACATTTTCTACTCTCGCCATTACATGAATCTTCTTGGAGTTCTCGGACCGATGGACGAAAACTGGTTTCATGAAAATAAAGTCGTCGGCTGTCCTCATCCGCATATTCCATCTGACCATTTTTCATTATTTGTTGAGTTTGAGATGCCTGTACCGTACCCAGATATCAGTACGATATTGAATGACGATACACCCGTCACAACAAGCAGCGGAAACAGTCTTGGTGCGATCGGGTCATCGCGGGACAAACATCATAGATAGCACTGATCTTTATTACAAAAAAAACCTTCATCCATGCATGTCGTGTTTCCTGTAAACAATCACACATTGTCTCAAAGCACCTGTTCATGAGTATTTGCTCAGATCTCAGAAAGCTGTCCAGCTTAAGTCATATCATGGTTGAAATGTTGTATTTTGTTAATGTTTGAACCAGATTATTTTCATTCATTGTTCCAGAACATATAATCATTTATAAAATTTTCAAGAAAAGGATTTTATTTTTTTTCGCTATCTCACCTTCAAATTAAGGTCAAGTTTTAATTGTTTGAATTTTAAACCGTGGTAAAACATTACAAAAAGTGCATATCCAAAGAAATCAGCAATTTCATTTCCATTGTTGGCAGTATGAAATGAAGAAATCTAGAGGCTAAATGATTATTCATTGTTTTGTTTCTTCTGATTGGTGAATTTTGAATTTGGTTCTTAGAATCGACCAATCAAATGTCAGAGATTGAGACTGATTAATTTTTTATTTTTTTTCCCACAAGTTAAAATACTTTGACTGTGATATTTTTTTCTCAGACAAGATGTTTAGTAGATGGGAAATACTCAATATTTGATGTCTAGGAAATGGTATCTAATCTTTCGTTAAATTTGCTTAATCATGTCTACTGAATTTGTTTGGCTTTAGCGGATCCTGCACCAGACAAATCTAATGATACATTGCAATATTGGAAAGGTTTCAGGACACTAAATCCTAGGTTTACATTACTGATGGTATAAGTTACGACCTATGTTACATTAATCAGTTTAAGGGCATGAACTACTCAATGAAATGCACACTAAGTACTGTGTTATTTATGTGATTTTTTTTGTTTTTCTAGAAAAATGATTAAAGTACATTCTTCAACCTTTTTACCAAAGGCGAAACAGTATAATATTTATTAGTTCAGTTTAGTTTTATTTAATAAGTAAAGGTTTGATTAAAAAAGTTTGAAAGTTTTTTTTCCATGGTTTTAAAAGTACTAACAGCAAAAAGGAGCAAAATATTTAATATAGATTAATAAGCCAGAGAATATTAAATACATAAAATGTTTGACTGAAATTTTTTCACAGATTAATCTTGGTTTTAAATAATACATTTAAAAAATATTTTCTGTTAGATTCTACTTATTGGCTTAAATTTCAACAAAAAGAAGTGAATAAGAGAGTGATGCGTCACATTTCTAGAGATAATAAATTGATTATTTTGAACTGATGTTTCTGACAGATAAAGGTTTCAGTCCACTAAAAAAGAGAAAATTTATGATATAAACTTGATTCTAATGATTTATTAATAAATGTGAGTGTAGACTACAAGTGTGAGAAATATGAAAGGTTTTCACCATGTCAGAGCAGTGTGTGACATATTTATTGATGTTTCTTCACACTTTTTGCTGACAGAAACAACTTTTTTTCATACTGTATTTCAGACGATTTTTTTTTTTCATTTTATGATAAATACAGAAGTATTTTTTGTAAACATTGACATGGTAGTGTGAATTTATCAATCTCATAAAATAAGGTGTGTCTTACATGGTACAATGCTGTTATGAATAATACCTTTATTGTTGATTTGTTTAATTTGACAATTTGATGAAATAAATGATATAACTACGGTACACCCATAGATATGATGTAACAATTTTCATATGTGTGAACAAAATCATAAAATAAAATAAGATACAAAAAAAAAATCATAACCTTGGATTTTATTATCATTTAAAAAAGCTGAACAGGAAAGTAAGTTTAGAGTACAAAAGAACAAAAAAGCCGTAAACAACCACCACCCACGCCAACCCCTCCCCACCCCATTTTTTATTGGCAATGTATAACATTTTTGTGCTGGTTATTGTTAAGTGACCCGATCATCATCTTCATACTCATTTAACAAGTGCTTTTAAGCATTTTCAAAATTGTATTATAAAATTTAGGGCACTTTTATTAATTCATAAAAAAGTAAAATGTTTGTGTTGAGACAATGTGTGGATGTATATTTGAAGAGAAATATTATTTACATTTTTTTTTGTAAGTTAGTTTTGGTCTAAAGGCAGTTATGTTATTTGTTTCCTATCACCTCTAGTTAACACCATAATATTGTAATATGCAGCTAAAAGCAGGTAAATCAGGTAGAGGTTACACTATCACAATGTGTCTTAACCTGGGATAATACTATTTGTGTTCACCTTTTCTCATAATCATGGTACAGTCCAACAAAGGGAAGTTACTCTCATGGCTTAAAGAAGTGAAAGCAGACGGCACATTTTTTTTATGCAGTTTTTTGATAGTCATCATTTTACATTCTTTTATTGTTGCCAATTCATCTATTTCAATGGTAATGTTGATGATTTATGAAGTTTTTAGCTTTTTAATTATATGCAAATTGAATTTATTTAGAAGCAAATTATAAATTATTGTATAGCAAGAAATCTTGACATCTTTGTAATCTGGAATGAGATTTTGTGATTGATTTTAAAGATTCTTTGAAATTTTATAAATTGCTTTGTAGCTTTAAGTCATGAGATAGCCTTTTCCCTAGAAGATTTTCAAAACATGTGTATACATTATTTCTGTTTCTCATTTCACACAGCGATTTTGAAATACTCAAATGGCATTCAAAGTTGTTGTTTTTTCTTCTCAAAAATGGATATGTGAACAAAAGATCAAATCATTTATTACGAAAACTAAATGCCAGTTTTAAATGATCATCTTTGAATGTGTGAAGATGTTTATAAGATCATGACCCACATTGGGTTGACTGCAAAACTGCTATAAGTCCTTCCATATTTCATATAAGTTACTGCAGTTTTGTGGCCAACCCTCAAATTTTGATGACCTACAAATGAAATTTGTATTGTACGATGATTGCCACATCAACTAAAAAGAAATGGCTAGCATATTGTATCGACTATAATAGTCTTGTACAAAGATGATGACACTTTCGTATAAATCATGATTCAATGTTAGATTATATTCTCACTGCCCTGATTATTATTTTCTTTTTTTCTAATGTGAACAAAAACCAGGTTTTTCTGGGTTCACACTATAAAGCCAGTGTAATGTAACACATAGTTTTTGTATTCCAACAGGCATATAACAATAATGTGACATTACATGGTTTAATGTGTAGAAAAGTCTGTCACTCTGTACATGGGGAAAATAATGGAATAAGTGGCAGGGAGTGGGGGGGGTATTAAATGAGAAATTGATTTATTTGGTTAATATGATAAATATTATATAATGAAAGTGCTATTTAGATTCATTATGAGAATAAGTCAATTTTGTACAAAGTCTTGTGTATTAATTAACAACTGAATTGTTTTTTCAAATAGTCAATTTTCAAAATTGAAGAGCTGATTTATAAAGAAATGAAAAACAACAATGAGCAGAATAGGCCTGTATTTTTCTTTTGTCTCTTCGCTTGAATCAAAATTAATCAAATTTGTTAACTTCTGAATGACCCCCAATGTAACCAAAATCCATTTTCTATTACTATAAAAGTAATTTAGTTTAATTTTTTAAGAACTGCCAGTTTTTGAATAAGGCATTATAATACTCTTTTTGGTTGCTAATTCATCTAAAGTAATATGTGCTAATGGCATTCCAGTGTTTTGTTGACATTTTATACACTAACATTATGGTTATTATGCTATAAAAAGACGTTGATAATATTGTGTCATATTTCAGCATGGTTTTATTAGAAGTTATAAAACAATGGATGTCTAATTTTGCTCCTGTAACTGCTAATTATCTACACAAATAATTTCTATAATATACCATGATTTACCATTATGAATAATTTCATATGAGGACATTGGCTTTTAGGTCACACACATGTTTGCCTGAGCTGCGATGTGCCCCTATTTCTAGAATATACTTGTTAATTTATATTTTTCCTGGGTGTGTATTATTTAACTCTCTGTCTACATTTTTTTAACATTGGTAATTATCTTGTAAAAATAAGTTTTTAAAATTGTAATTTTGATAAGTTTGTGTCAGTTTTGTTTTTGTGCAGTAAAGAAACACAGTTATATTAACAAATTTTATTAAATCAGGTTAGTGCACACAGAAAAGAATATCTTTATGTAAAGAAAAGATACCAATAAAATATCTTTATGTAAAGAAAAGATACTGTATATATAGGAAAGATACCAATAAGAATATCTTTATGTAAAGGAAAGATACCAATAAGAATATCTTTATGTAAAGAAAAGATAAGGTATGTAATGGAAATATACCAATAAGAATATCTTTATGTAAAGAACAGATGCTAGAATATCTTCATGTAAAGGAAAGATACCTATAATAATCAGCCAATAAGAACAATTTTATGTAAGACACAGAAGTAAGGTAAGAATATGTTCACGTAAAGAAAAGATACCAATACAAACATTTTTATGTAAAGAAAAACCACAATGCAGAATATGTTTATGTACAGAAAGGGAAACTGAATATTCTGATCTAATACTGTTGATCTGACTGGGTGTAAAAGTTGAAGGTCTTGAAATTGTTGATCTGAGAAATGGCTGTGTATATTGCCGTGTATTAGTTTCATGTTGAATTACCTCTTGTTCTGTTGTGATTATTTTTTAACTGAATTTAATAGAATTAAATTTCTGTTGACAGAAAACTAAAACTTATTACTGACACTTGGAAATAAAATATATATCACATGCAATACACGTGTATTTTACCAAGTTGTAAATGCCCTGTTTAAGCATTTAGCTTGTGTATGTACTGGTAAATGAATTTCTTTTTTAAAGATATTTAAATTTTATTTGCAAATTTGCTGTGTTTCTATATATAGCGGAACTTGGTTAGATTTTCTTTTTTTCACTGTGTACATAATTGTATTTGTTTTTAATTTGATATTTTTATCACTATTTGGCGTTTGTTTTTATCTGTTGGGTTTAGTAATATTTATGTATGCTGTAGAGATTTTTGAAAGAAATTATAAGAACTATTTTATTAACATCAACTAAAAAAAACAGAGAAGAAAAATGAAAAACTTTACTTTTGAATTTTTTTTCCTGTAAAATTTGCTCAATATTTAATATTTCAGGTTAAATGTGACCAATGAATAATCAAAGCACCTGATTGGCCGATTGTAATGTTATGTTTTAAATTGACCAATCAGCATTAAGGCTGGGCTATGTCTAAGAGTTTAATACGAGAAAAATGTATCTTTACTCTTTGTTTTGCTCTATGGTTTGTAGATGGTGCTGTGGTTTTATGTTTAACTTAGTTTCATATTGGGACTTCACTATACGGAATATTTATTCTTTTCTCATGAGTGTTGCAAACAAATTAATTTGGTGCATTTTATTTTAACAAACTGAATGTTACAGTATTATATAATAAAGAAAAGATCTTATTTACTCAGAGTTTATCTGCCATCAGCATGCTTGCTTATCATTGTGTTTTATTACTTTCACGATTTTAGCAGTTTGCTTAAGTTCTTTATCCTGCCAGTTTGCTTTATTTGGAATATTAAACAAAAACTGCATTATTCAGCTTCTTTTCTAAAACATGATGTGGTATTAAGCTGGCATCAGCAACAAGGAGATTATCATTTGTATGTATTACTCATTAAAATGCCTGCCTGATTTATTTACTCATCTTTGTCAATTTCTATAAATAAAGGCATTGCATTGAAATTTGAAATGTCATAAGTTAATTATAGAGAAAGCCTCAGCTGTGGAATCTACTATGTTAAGGATGTAGTCATAATTATGTACAATAATGGAAGGATAAAATTCTTATAATTAAAAGGTAGAAGTTTTTTTTCTTCATTTTATTATTCTAGTAGATTCATAATAAAACTCTTCTAATTGCAATTTTTTTTTCAAATTAAAAAAAAAAAATAATAATAATTAGTAGAATTAATATCTGTATATGATATTTAACCTATGAAAGAATATATCTTGAAAATAAACAAGTATTTGTTACTATGATAAATTTTGTCAATTTTTTACAAGTTGTGCTAAATAGAGAAATGAAAATGGAATGACTAGTAAATTTAGTTCTCCTTCAAAATCAGCATACTTTATGAAAAAGCTGTCATGGTTTTTTTGTAAGAAAATAATTTTTCTCCACATTGGATGATTCTCTAGCACCGTTAATGATCTAGTTAGTTTCAGTGTAGTTATGAAGATAATGCCATGTTTCGGTGAGTTTCTATAGCGACTTTCTTGTATATTCAATGAAATTATATTTCGTCATGGTTACATGTAGGAACTAGTTACAGGACTGTGACGTAATTTTAGGTCATTCCTGATCTTTGTTCTAAATGTTTATGTACATAATTTCTGATTTTTTTTTTGTCTTCGTAATTATGACGTGAGAAATACAAAACAGAAATTGAGGCTGATAGAAAATGGTTGCCTTGGTAACACTTTAATGTGCTTATTTTTACTTACATTTATAGAAAATTGCAAGTATGTCATCTCACCTGTCTGAAGAGAATACTTCACAGAACTTTTTTATCTTATATTGTTAAAAAAGAATAGACTTATGATTGTAAAAGAAAAAGAATATATAAAAATTTCAGATGGTAAAGTTGTTATAAAAATAGTATTTATTCATTTAAATATCTGAATAAATAAAGAAAAGAAGGGAGAACAGAGTTAAAAAGATTCAATCCAGGTACATTGGAATATTAATTAAATGCTTAGTCCAGAAATACCACAATTAAGTTGGTAAATTATATAGAGCTAATATGTTGTTTTTTTTTAAAAGTTAAATTTTCAAAAGAACAAACTAGTTTTGACTTTGATGTCTTGGGCAAAAATAAAAACATACCTCTAGACATGTGAGGTGACAAACATGCTGTATTCCTGTACATTGGAGCACCAGGTTGTTTGTTTTTAACTAAATCAGGACATTGTGGAAAACATACATTTATTTGTATGTCACCCAGGGATTATTTCATGTGTAACTTACAATTGACTTGTGTAATAGGAGGGCAGACTCATCGTTGTTCTTAGACGTATCATTGTGGGGTTTTTTTTTGTTCGATTTTTTTTTTCTCAAATCCTGTAGATATAACTTTGCTGTTTTTAAACAAAAATCATGTAAAGTGTTTTGTTTTTCCTTTTTTGTGTAGCATATTTCGTTCTCACCCCTTTGTTTTGAATAGAAGCAATTAAAACTGCATGTCTATATTTTGTATAAATGAACATTGTACATTGAATTGATGTCCTGTTTGGGACTACAATAAAATATTTGATATGAATAATGTCTTCATTATTATGTAACATTTATAAAATGGTTTATTCATCAGCTACCAAAAATTGCCAAAAAAAGAAAGATAAAAGAAAAGCAAACAGTTGTGATCGAAGTTTATGAAAGGAAATCAGAAAAAAACAACAGCCGTGCAACTTAATGAGAGGAAGTTAGGAAGCATCTTTTAATGCCTGTTATGTAATTTAAACTAAATCTTGACATTTTACGAGAGGAAGTCACCTTAGAAGTCAGGTTGGATGTGCATGAAAATCTGCACACTCGCAGACAGGTAGATACGAAACTTTTGCCCAGAGATGATGATATACTATATGCACTGATCTCGAATCTAACCCTGTGGAATTCTGTTATAATAAATCGACGCTCCTCATTATACTTTGACCATTATTTTATTAATTTAATGATACAACGGTTTCAAATTTGATCTTCAGTTCATGACAGAAGATCGTATATTGATGGTAATTTCTCTTTATATATATGGAAAATGAGAAGCAGGAAAAGCTAGGGTTTGGCAAGCTCATAAAATTGTTCTCCATCAATATATAATTAATTTGTCAGAGAACTGTTGTAAAATCTTTGTACCAGTCAATCTTTGTTTTGATATTTATGTTCAACATTTATGTAACACACCTTGGATATAAATGTTGAAAGATTGATTTTTAGCTCACCTGTTGAAACTGAGAGCTAAGGAATATGTAACATTTTGTAATGAAAGTTTGTTCAAATTATAGCCATGTAAATCAAACAAATACAGTACAAGCTTGAATAGTTACTGTGTCATTTTAGCACCAGCATAGTTCATTCATACAGTGTTATCTCTGGTATCCCCTCTCTCACCCCTTGGTACATTACGGAGGGGCACAGGAAACCACTGGCAGAAATTTTGTGATAGCAAATATTAACAAAACCTGACCTGCTGGTGTCTTAACTAAAGGAGTGGCCAATAAAAGTAAGCAGAGACAGGGTGCGTGAGTCTGTAGTATGCAGTGACATCGTGAAAAGAAGGCCCTATGGCCCTTTGCTTGGCACCAATAGCCATTATCAAGGCTACCTCATATTTGTCCCTTGCCTTTTCGAAGAAAAAAGGGGGATAAAGAAATGGGCTCTGTCTGTCTGTCTGTCTGTCTGTCTGTTTGTCTGTCCATCACACTTTCATGTCTGGTCCATAAGTAAGCCATTCATAAAAGGAATTTGAAATTACTTGGCACAAAATGTTTGTTATAATAAGACGATGTGTCATGAACAACACCCAGACCCCAGGTGAGTACCTCCAAGATAAAGGTCACACTGTGATTATAGAACATTGTCTGTTGAAGGATATATGTTGTGTCCGGTCTATAAGTTTCTCATCTATGAAGGGATTTTTAAAATACATGGCACTAATGTTCACAATTAGATGATATGTTGTACGCAATACCCAGACACCTACCTCAAAGGTCACACTTTGAGGTCATAGCTTAACATGGTCTGTTATGGGGTAAGATGCCAAGTCACGCCCATGCAAATACATAATATACCATATAACAAACCATACCCTGTTTTGATTTTGTATTTGTCACATTCTGTGGTTTTGAAATGGTTTTGACAACTATACAAATGTATTTCTGTTGACACATATGCAGGAGTTATTTCTTTCTTCTTCTTTAATGAATTTATTGTTGCATGTGCAGATCTAGCATTGATCAAGATTTTACACCCATACCTCAAACTACTATTAGCAACCCCCCAAAAGTACACAAACTGCACAATTTTAAATTCAAATCAGTGCAATCTATTATATAAATTTGAAAGAATATTTTGCTCATTTCTGTCATTGACATCCTAGGAGGATAACATTTTCACCAAAGAATCTTGTACTTGATTTAATGATACAAGATTATATGGTATTTAATTATCCATATTGTTAAACATCAAAGGCATTTTAATTAAATATAATACTCCACCAGCTTTAATGCTTTCTTATCATTCAAACTGACAGCTGACTGTATCATTCTGACCTTACTAATTAAAGTGATATAGACACCTGAAATAAATTCAATTTAATTTCAATACCTTATTGTACTGGGTAATTAAATAAATATCTAAGGCAATTTTGCTTTCATCAGATCTTGTTTAATGCCCTATCAAGACATAAATCATTTTGACAAGGTTAAAAATTATTTCATTCCCTCAAGAATAAAAGTTTAGTTTAATTCTTGAAAATCAATAAAATTACTTTTATAGTAAGAATTCACATCACCAAAGAATGAAAGCATACTTTTATTTACATCATTGCCTAAGTGATCATATAGCTAAAATTATTATACTTTTTTTTTTAAACTGTATTTTTTTTTAAACTGTGTTTAAATACATGTAGCTTATGCTGACTTTCTATTTTGCTTCATAGAGTAACCTTTTGATTAAGAGCACATTGCTTCATAGAGAATTTGTCTTATTACTTTGTCTTTTACCTCTACCTTCTAACTACCTTTTGCATTATATAGAAATGTTCTTAATACATGTACTTTATGATTAAGAATATGTGTACATGTACACTCTGGATGTTTCATATTCAAAATTTTTGACTACTTTGCCTTTTGTTTTAAAGATAGACATTTTGACTACATAGACTTTTTATATGTAGAAAACTTTATAGCTACCTATTGCATCATAAAGAAACATTTTGAATAATTTCCCTATTGCTTTAAAGAGAGACTATTTGACTACTTTGCTTATAGTTTCATACAGCATTTCTTACATATTGCTTCATTTAGAAACTTTCTGACTACATGTACTTTGCATATTGTTTCATAGAGTCACATTTTGACAATAAGATTATTGCTTAGTAGAGAAACACTTTTACTTCATAAGGAAAGCCTTATGACTGCTTTGGAATTTGCTCTATGTAAAAACCTTTTAACTTCTTTACCTACTGCTTTATAGAGAAAGCTTTTGTATGCTTTGACTATTACTTCATACTTGCATAATAGGGAAACCTTTACTTTGCTTGTAGCAGCACTTCATGGCAATTTTGACTACTGTTTATATTGCTTCATATAATCAAAGCAGTGAATGTACTGATGGGGAGGCTATGACAGAATGTTTCAGACTTATAGTTTGTTTTCTTTTTGCTTAAAATGTGCTGTTATTTCAATAATTACCAAAATAAGAAGATATGCACATTGTGTCATTTATCCTTACTGTTGTGTTCAACCATTCATATATATGGTTAATATGGTTGACTATTCATTTTGTTAATATTCGAGAACATTTCATTGAGGTCTACATTCGGACTGCTAATCCTGCAAATTTTGAAAAACCTAAACTGTCAATAATAAATGACATACCAGAAAGTATGACGACTGTTCATTATAAGATAACAATAACATTTTACAACTGACTGTTCCTTATCAAAATATTCTAGGACTGTTCATCATAAATACTTTATGTCATTTTAATATCATTGAATGATAATAACAACTGCAAGTTATGCAACATTTTTATTGAACATAAAAATTATACATATTTACATGTCATGTACCATAATTGAGATCAATAAGATACTATCTTGTGATGAGTATTAATATCCATGCTCTACAGACAGAAAGATGTCTTCTTCCGAAGCAAATCTGGAATAAAATCACGTTTCAGAAAATTATTCCCATTTCATTACGCGTCGCTGACTTTGACAGCTTCGGATATTTATTAAAACTAAATATTTCTTGAAAAAATACATATCTGCAAAGCTTATTCAAAATTGAATCAACCTAAGTGAAAATTGATCAGGAAGTTATATCTTCTTATTTTACCGCCAACACTCAACCAACTTATGGTAGTTAATAGATAGATTCTACATGTATTTTTTAAACCTCACTAGCTTGAAATATAACTGCGGAAAATCACGGATTTATATTACAAGGATCGGACACTTTCGTTTAGCTTAAAGTCCCGTCGCGCGCATGCGCAGAATCGGATAAAGGTGGACAGAATGAGATGGCGGAACGTGCGGAGTACGAAATATGACAGATTTTCACCGGAGTATGTGGTGTTATTGCAGCTTTGTGAAAAATTATACACATATGAATGTATTGATACAGTATTATTTTGTGTCGCTAAAGTATTATTATATGAAAATATGCTGATAGAACGCTGCAACGCTTAGTTAAAAAGTACCTAATTTAAAAAATATTCGCCTATTGTTTAGGCATACTCTCTACACTTCGCCGCCCTTTTACATCAAGCACGAATTATTACCGCGATTCAGAATAAGATAATTATTTTTTACATGGTTTAATGATGGCATTGCAAAAAAACGTTTCTTGATTGCTAAAAAACTTTTAAAGAAATTCATGTTTGAAATGTGTCTTTATTTCTGTGAATTATTTCCAAATGATTTGTACATTTTTTATTTGATTACCTGTATATTAGTATAAATATAGTAAATATTCTACTATTAAGTGTATTAAATATATTTTCAGATCATTCTAGACAAGCATTCCTATATAGATGAATTCATTAGATTGGCAAGGAAGAAACTTTTATTGGCATAGAGAACAGCTGTTTTATAATATTTTTTTTTATTTTGAAACATAATTTTTTCATAGATATCCTAAACAATTCACGTCAAATGATTTATTTATCACATGTTTATTTTCATCATTTTTCAGAGAAAGGACTATACAAATTTAGTTGTATATTTTCAATTTCATTTATAAATGTTAATAAAGAAAATAGATTTACATTGTATTTATATATATCCTCTTCAGAATCATTTTCTTACCACATATGCCATGAACTGTAGTTAAAGACCGCGCATATACAAAATATACATTCAAAATGAAATTATATTTGTTTTTGAAGATCGAGTGTTGCAATTATCACATGTAACCTGGTAATGAAAGTTTGGAAATAAATTTTTTAATTATCACTTACCCCCCTTCAAAAGTAATTAAACTTGAAAGAAATTTAAGCGATGTGTAAAAAATAATCAACAGTTACTTTTATTTCGCAAAATACTGACTCAAACTGTAAAGATTTTTATTGTTTTTCTAGCGTTACATTAAAAAGTATAATAAATATCTTTCTACAGGCATTCAAATAAAAAGAATAATTAAAATATACGGATTAAAATATACGAGTGACATTAAAAAGGCCGGAATCGAGACAGCCACACGAGAGAACTTTACTGTTACGATGATTGTCTACTTCACTGCACCGACATTTGAAAACAGATTTACAAAAAAATAATAATGATATAAATGATGAATGAAATTTAAATATTCTATGAATATGGCAATATTGACAATCTCGGCAATATTTTGTACTAAAAAATGAATAAATTTTCTTCATGTGTAAAGGCCGCAATACATTAGGCCCTACCCGTAAAACAATTGTGCGTTAATAAATTTGACTACATAACCCAACAAATCTTAAATATTGCATCTTTGATCATCTGTGAATAACTTACATCGGCTTCTTTTTTGTTTTGAAACTGAAAGTATTATGGTACCGTAATAATAAATTTCAAATACCTGCTTTTTATATAAAAAAATGTAAATTTACCGCGGATTTCGTCAAGTTAATTTTTTAACTGTCGTTGCGGACAGATAAACTGTACCTTTAAAAAATAAATTAGATATTTGAATTAACCAAGTATTTTTCTTCAAAATAAACTTTAAATTTCCAAAATCGGATAATAAGTGAAAAAGCTATATGGTATTTTGTAAAGTAGGTATCCGTTGCGAACGGGCATTTACGCTTCGCACCGGTAAATTATCGATCGATGTACCTTTATCGGGTGCACGACAAGATATTTAAGCATTTATATAGGGTTAACTGGGAGTGTCCGATCCCTGTAATATAAATCCGTGGGAAAATCTATTGTTAACAGGGTGTGCGGTTATTACGTAGGATTTTCCCTGTCGACCATTTCCCGCAAATAGATGAGAACATCGAAGCGTCAGTGCTATGAATGGTGTTATAATTTATAAATAGCGTGTTTTGGAAGTTTTTTGTTGAAACTTCTCCAAATCCCTCCAGAGGCGTGCACGTCGAGGAGAAGGCACACGGCAGGTCAAGGTCAAGTCATCTCAAGTACCAGAGGTGATTGGTTGACCTGTCGTGGCTTACTCTGGAGGTTTGGCGCTAATGAATGCCGTTTTTGTTGTCTTCAGTCAGGAAGTTGATGCCTTGCCAGTATTGTCGTCTCCTTTACCACCAACGAACGAAGAATGGGCTACCAGGAAGATTCGGCTTGAAAAAGACGTACCCGATGCTATAATCTCGGACATATGGTTATTCCGGCCCCGAGTATAAATAAACTTAAAACACACACACTTTTGTTGAAAACAAAACAAACAAGAGCACCGCTAGGCGGAGCATTATATGCCCGAAAAGTGTTGTTGTTTTTTTTAGTAAAGATGAAGCATTTGTAAGACATGGGAATATTTCATATGAATATAATGAATAACTGTGGAAAACGAAGTAGAGATAAAAGATACCATTGAGAATGCTTCCTTTTATTCGTGATGAGCATAACTTAGTCACTCAGTTGTAATGTATAGATGTAAGATGGTGTTGAAGGGACAGATTCTGGAGGATCTACTGTTTAAGAATGTATGTTGTTCCAGCCAATCCAGCACATCTTGTGGTCAGTGTAATATGTTTCTAAGGTACCACAGCTGTAGGTCTCTATGTTAGTGAATATAAGATCAATTGTAGAATTATGATCATTTGTTGGCCCATGAATTACTTGCTTAAAATGAAGTTTTTTCATCAAATTGTTTAATGCACGTTTGTCTGATGTATCCTGACTCCAATCAATATTAAAGTCCCCCAAAATAACTGCCTTTGAATTTTTAATGTATTTGTCATGTACACTGTCTAGCAGATTAAGAAGTGGTTTTGTAGATACTTTTGGAGATTTGTAGATAATGATGATAACAATATCTGGCTGTTGTAAAACACTGAATACAGATGCTTCCACTTGGTTTGAGACGTTAAAAGGACCAAATGTGAATGAAGACTTTGAATAAACAGAGAGACCATAAAATGATCTTTGTGTAAGAGTTGGTAGCTGATAATCTTGTCTGAACTGCGAAAAGTTTGTGAGAGCTGTGTCATTTGTGGCATCTCTTCTGTTGAATCTGGTTTCACAGAAACCTATAACATCAGCTGACTGTACATTTCTGTCTATCTGAACATCTTGAAGGTGTTTGTGTAAAGATCTAGCATTCAGAAAAGCAAGTTTAAATGTGAATTTCTGCTCTGTAAGAAAGTGATGGCTGAATACTAGAGGAGAATTTCGCATTCTGTCCATTTCTTTTTGTACTTCTTTATCTACTGCTATCTTATCTTCTTGTAGATTAGTGATGTAAAGTTTGTCCAATGACTTAAGTCGACTTAGGGCTACATAATGTATATGGTCAACTTTTCGAGTAAGAGTAAGATCAACAACAGCAGTATCTAATGTATCTCCTTGTGATCTGTGGATTGATTTTGCATGTGCAGGTCTGAGTGGAAATTGATATCTTTGTATTTGAGCTCGTCCATCTTTTCCTGCTGCAAATTCTTTGGCGACTGGTTGTAACGGTGTCCAGTTTGGATTATAGCCAGACCTATAGAGTCGTTTACTTTCACTGCGTAGTGATTTTCCACTTGATGGTTCTAGAAACTGGACCCAAATAATCCCAGAAGGCAAAGTATCTGTGAGCTCAATATCTATTTTCATTATCTTGCATGTAGCTCCATTCGTTAAGCCATCAGCTGTATCAAGATTAACAGTAAGATCATAGCAAATATCTTTGCATGCAACTACAGTATTTGGTAATTGACAGTTTTTGGCATGGCTTTTCCTGAATTGTTCTAAAATTTTTTTACGCATGTTTGGTGGTGTAGAGCCAACAACACGATCTTTTGCATTGATAGTGTAAGAAGGGTTCTGAGACCTTAATATAGCAACATTGTTGTATGCATTGACACTGTCATTTGTATGCATTAAATGGATAGCATCATATGGATAATGTTCCGAGTCTTTTTGTATGATTCTTGTCTTTAATATTTTGATATCATCACTGGTGTGATTGCCTTCTCTAAGTCTATTGAGGAGTTCAGCAAACTCTTTATTATCTGCTTGTCTCATGATACATTTTAGTTCAAATAACTGAAATAGATCTGTCCACAAATTTGTGGCCAGTGGCATGAATCCAGATTTAGGTTGTCTAAAAACATAGGTGTCAAACACAGGAGGAAGTTGATAAAGATCTCCCACAGCAATAATTGATACTCCACCAAATGGCTTTCCAATTTGCATTACTTCCATTAATCTTTGATGTATAATATTAAACATTCTATATCCAACCATGGAAATTTCATCTATGAATATTAGTTTCACATTTCCAATTTGGTTACGAAGACTATTTAGTTGACTAGAGGACAGAGGTTTGTATTCTAACTTATTGTTTGCACTTATCTTGAATGTACTGTGTATTGTTGATCCTTTTATATGATATGCAGCTTTTCCAGTAGGCGCTACTAGAAGGATTCTTCTAGTTACAAAGTCATCTCCAGCTTGTTTATTAAAATATTTCAGTGCTGTCTGGTACAGTGCACGAACAACAAAACTCTTGCCTACCCCAGCTCCACCACTGAGAAAGCGAAAAGTTTGCTCATCTGAAGTCTTCAAATGGTGCATTGTGTCAAAAACAAATGATGCCTGTTCAGTATTTAGGGCTCTCATGAGTTCTCTGTATGGTTCATCTGGCAGTTCATGGTAATAATGGAGGTCATCTTCTGATGAAGAAATTGGCAATCCAAGATCTGTACCTATATTATAGTCTTCAATGCCTTTATCTGGCATGTGTTTTTGGTTGTCCTTGTCTATTAGATTGCTGTGTTCAGTTGTAGGTGCCAATTCACCCCAAACATCTTCCAGATCTGGGTCGGCACTAAGGACTTTTTGTGCCTCATCCACTGCTGCAGAGAAAGGTTCAAATACTTGTTTAGTGGAATTTATTTCAGATTCAATTTGTTTATATCTGTCATAGAATGTTTGGCAATTACCAACTAAGTTTATTTCATCCCTCCATGGAAAGTATAACATTATTTGTTCTCTATAGTATTTTTCTGAATCTGTATCTGGATTGAAATGAACTGGGCGTATAATGTTGCCTCTGGTCCTTTTTCTGTAGGTCCTAGATTTTAATGAAGGATCCTTTCTTTTATTGTGTACAATTTCAGTTGTATCAGTCAAAGTTTGGTCTTCATCTTCATTGTCACAGACTTCAGGTTCTGGTAGCAAATTGTCAACTGTTTTTTTGGTTAGGTGTTGACTCCGTGATATGAAAGTGTGCCGAACTTCTTCATAGAAGGAAGCAAACTCAGCAAGTGTTACTGCATCCAACGTTTTTGGTCTCTCTGCATATTTAGATATGAGACTGCTACACTCGATGTTTTCATCATCATCATTCATTTTATCCAGAACTTGTCTTGATTTCAAAAGTATTTTTCTCTCTTCTGGAGGACTTGTATTTACAAATACCACATGTCTGGAGGCCTTTTTCATGGGCAGTTGGAGACAAAGGTAAACTGCCTCTTGAGCACTGATCTCAACAGCATTTAAGAATTTATTTCCAACCTGTTTCACTTGTTGTCTGATATCTGAATCACCACAACTTGCCTCTTGAGTAGCTTTTCTAAGTAATTCACTCATTCCTCTTTGGCTCTTTGTTAAGTATGAAGCAACATAAGTAGCACATGCATAGACATCTATTACAAATTGAATGTCAACATTTGCTCTCCATGCACACAAAACAGATTTGTTGTAATTATTGACACGTGTTTCTCTGTAAGATCGCTTCAGGAAGATAGTTGTCCTTCTTATTGATGATCTAATTGCACACAAGTACTGTTCATCAGATAAGCCAAGATTTCCACGAAAGTCTTCATAAGATATGGGTGATAAGTCATCAATTTCATTTAAGGCAGATGATACTACCTTCCATGTTGCTTTATGTGCTGCAATTTCTTCTTTACTAAATTCTGGGGTAGAGAGAGGTTCAAGAATTAGAGTTCTATCAAGAAGAGGTTTTGGGAATCCAAATCTACATTTCTTCTCTTTATTTTTTCTACATGTGTGACTGTGCCTGTGAATCTGGAGTTGTACAAGGTCAAACAATGGGTCATCATTATCTGGCATAGCACAAGATATGTAATCATCAATAAAATTACAGATCTCCTGCTCAGAGTCTGTTCCATAAGAGGGGGCATTTTTACACCAAATGACCATGTGTATGTGCGGGGAGCCCCTGTGTTGGTATTCAACTCGGTAGAAATAGTCTTGAATTTCATGTAGTGGAGATGCATTTGTCAATAGGAACTCATTGAGAAATTTATTAACTGCATAATCAAAGTGCCTTGCACAGGTCACAGGATCAGACTGGATTAAATGGCATTTATGTTCCCACGTAAATGCTTTGATTTCATCTTCACTGTAGGTTTTGTTATCAACAAGTTTTCCAAGTATACCAAGAAGATGTGTCCATCGTGTTTCCGCAGCAGAGAGAGTAACAAAGAAAGTGGAAGCTCCTATTTGCCTTATCATTGCATATAAATCTTTGCTGACCTTTTCAAAATAGGGAGGTGACCCTCTTATATTGGTTAGAGCTTTGTATGCTTTGTCACAATGAATGAGAGAGTTAATGGCATCACCACGAATATCTTTTACTGTTAATGTTTGGTGTTTAGTTTTAACTTTTCTGAGAAGCAAAGAAGTTTGGTCAATAAGGATCTTCATCTGGATTTTCTTTGCTTTAAAGAAGATATTTTCTACACAGGACGCTGCTCGTCTATCAAAATTACGTAATTCAGACTTTACTATTTCTCCATATGACACCTTGACAGGTCTTTCTGCATTTGTTGGACGGCGTTCGCCACAGAATATTTTTGGGAATGCTAATTCTTCTGCATCTTTTTCCAAGAAAACACTGACTGGAATATTTCCTTCTCCTGGCGCAAAGTGGTAAATAAGATCCCTTTCATTTGGTTCTATAAAGTCTTGAGCAGAAAGCAAAGTGTCAGACATGCCAGACATTATTTCATTTTCATCAATTTCACTCCATTGATCTTCATTGTCATTTTTCTCTGCTGGAACAGTTTCTACATCAGAAGACAGTTTATCGTCAAGACAGCCATCTGTTTGGTGTTCCACAGATGTTTGTGTATCTGTCTCTGCTACAGGTTCATTTACTGTATGATGAAGATTCCATTGTTCATTAAATGTGATGTGGTCTTTGTATAGGGATTTCTTAGATAGATACTGAGCACAATTTCTAACAATTTCTGGTCTGATGTTTATGCTGTATATGTGATGTTTGTATGTTAGGCGGCGCTTAAGTGTAGCTTTGATAGTGGCTGTTTCTGAAGGCAATCGCGGAAGGCTGGAAACAGTTGTTTCAATATCTGCAGGTACTAAAACCATATTTCCATGAATAAACTTTTGCCTGCCTCTTGGAGCTTCATGTATTTTCATGAAAGGAAGTCTAACAGCAAGAAGATTTTGTTCCAAAGGGTTGAGATCTTGCAACATATCCTGGTCTGGAAAAAACATTTTATTCATTGCAGACATCGGCGGAATTTTTCTCTTCTTTATGTATGACTTACATGTATGACAACACCATGTTTTCTCACCAACACTAACTATATTTGGTAAATCTTTTAGAACTGTATTATTGTTAAAATTTTCTCTCTTAAATTCTGTCACAGAGTGCTTGTAAAATAACTGTTTACAGCTTGTACATATGTATACAGGTCCACATTGGACAGTTTTATGAAATTTCTCTATTAATTCCTCTATAGTTGCTTGCTGCTTTTGTTGTTTATTTTGGTATTTATGACAAGATTCTCTTTTTCTATAATGTTCATCAGTTCGCTTTCTCTTTTTGGCTAGGGTATCTCTATTGTTTTTAGTTTGTCTGTAGTCTACATCTGAACGTTTTTCTTTTCTTCTGCATGTATCTTGTTTTTGTTCCAATTGTCTAAAATCAGCATGTATACGTTTTGCTTTTCTTCTAGTTGTATCCTGATTTTGTTGCAATTGTCTATAGTGCACACATGAACGTTTTTCCTTTCTGGAAGTGTTATCTCGCAGTTTTTCACTTTGTCTATAGGCCACATCTGAACGTTTTTCCTTTCTCGAAGTGTTATCTCGCAATTTTTCACTTTGTCTATAGGCCACATCTGAACGTTTTTCCTTTCTCGAAGTGTTATCTCGCAATTTTTCACTTTGTCTATAGGCCACATCTTAACGTTTTTCCTTTCTCGAAGTGTTATCTCGCAATTTTTCACTTTGTCTATAGGCCACATCTGAACGTTTTTCCTTTCTGGTACTGGTCTCTCTTATTTTTTCACTTAATTTATAGTCCACGTTTGAACGTTTTGCTTTTCTGGTGAAGGTTTCTCTATTTTTTTCTAAACATTTATAGTTCACATTTGAACGTTTTTCCTTTCTTGTGGTCATCTCTCGCTTCTTTTCATTTTGTTTATAGATAACATCTAAACGTTTTTTCTTTCTTGTTGTCGCCTCTCTATTTTGTTCACTTTGTTTGTATGCCACATCTGAACGTTTGATCTTTTTTGTGCTTGTCTGTCTATTGTTTTCCGCTTGTTTATATGCCACATCTGAACGTTTTATCTTTTTATGGCTTGTCTGTCTATTGTTTTCCGCTTGTTTATATGCCACATCTGAACGTTTTATCTTTTTTGTGCTTGTCTCTCTAATTTTTTCAGCTTGTTTATATGCCACATCTGAACGTTTTATCTTTTTTGTGCTTGTCTCTCTAATTTTTTCAGCTTGTTTGTATGCCACATCTGAACGTTTTATCTTTTTTGTGCTTGTCTCTCTATTTTTTTCAGCTTGTTTGTAGTCTGCATCAATTCGTTTACTTTTCCTGATTTTTGTCTGGGTTTGTTTTTCAGTCTGCTTATAAACATAGTCTTCACGTTTTTGTTTCTTATTTGTCCTATCACGAGCTCTTTCTTTTTCTTTGTACTCTGGATTTGCTCTCTTACGTGCCATAAGGTCTTTCATATACATTCTTCTCTGAAGAATTTTGGATGATTGTGGAGTGGATGATAAACGTGTAAGGTTTTCTGACCCGTAAGTAGAAACTTTTGGTATTTTGTATCCACTTGGAATATGCGGAGCACAAATATTTAGTGTACTGGCCTTCTGAGGATTACTATAATTTTGTTCACAAGAGTACATTTGTTCTGTACATACAGTTTTCATGAAATGTGAATCGCTTACACTTTTGCTGTTCGTGTTTGCATCTAGTTCTGGGAATGGAAGTAATTGTCTGGATGATATACATGTTCTTAAATGGTTCCGAACACTTTTTATATCATAAGAAATATTTGTAGGATTATGTCCTAACACACAAGAGAATGCAAATGCTATTGACATTACACCACATACTGGTTCAATTGATTGTTGCACAACATTTTCATATATCAAGTTTGTCACAATTTCAGGACGATAAATAACTTGTAGTTGCACAGTTACTTCTGTGAGATGACATCTTGAGCGCAAGGAATCATAAACAAACAATTGCTGAGTTGTGCTTTTGAAGTAGGAAGTTACCCAATGTCCAGTTATAGGATGGATGTGTAAAGAGTCTCTATTCAAAGGCAATGGTAAGACTACATTTGAGGTATCTTCATGAAACTGCCTCGTTGACATGAAATGAAGCTGTGCTGGAGTGTAGAATCCAATGTACTCAGAATAATTGTCACCACAATACAGTTTGATGATGTTTATGGCAGCAGTGATAACGTCATCATTTATTTCAGTAAAGTCATCACCAACCATTGTAATCAATGACTCTGCGTTATATGCAGGTGAAGCCGATGACTGAAATGAAATAATTCATAAATTATCACACACGATTATGTAACAGTATTTTAATATGAAACACAGGATTATTTATTCAGGTATCAAGATGTCAAAAGACACCTGCAGATGTTATAAAATGCCAAGAAATGTTAAATTCTTCTGAAATGTGGAGCTATTATATTTTTGAAAATGGAGACATTGTGAGGTTGAAAGTTATAGAATTTATTTATCATCTAAAATATTTATTATACTAGTACATACCAAATTCTGTTTACGTAGTTTGTCGATAGCCCTTTTCTTCTGAGCTGACTGCTTTCTTGATAGTGGCATGGTTCACAGTGTAAATGTCAGAATACTGTTATTCTTTCTGTATTTCTGCAGCCTGAAATTTTTATTTCAACATTAGCACATGTATATCAAACTGAAAAAGGAGAATATCTATTCTATACATGTATAAAGTACACATTATGGCTTAAATATAAAACCAACAATAACAGTTGCATGAAAATGAGCAGATATATAATGTATCAGTTTTAAAGTTCCAACCATTCAATGTAGAAAATAGAATATTCTTGAAGAAAATAAATTTTATTTTTGAGACTTTTTCTTAATATGAACAGAATAAAAAGTTATTAACTGAAATAAAACAAGAGCTGTCCTTATTGTTACAAACATAGATATATAATTTATCAGTTTTAAAGTTTCAACCATTCTATGTAGAAAATAGCATCTTGATGAAATTAAACTTTATTCATATGAATAAAATAAAATAAAGTTATTAACTGAAATAAAACAAGAGCTGTCCATAATATGAATAAAATAAAATAAAGTTATTAACTGAAATAAAACAAGAGCTGTCCATATTGTAACATACACATTCATTTAAAATGAAATCCTTCATTTCAGAAATATCATTTTTATAATCAACTAATGAATAATAATAAGGAAAATAAAGTGTTTTAAGAAACTTTCTTTTTTCTTGTAAATGTAAAATTAACACAATATATTGTATTTTTTATACAAGATTTTAACTAAAATGAAAAAAAATTGGCTGTTGTTAGAGTTCTTCAATTAAGAGCAAACAATTTTCTTTTTAGTGTGCAAATGCATATTAAAGCTCTAAAATGCAAATGTTAAGTCATTCAATTTTCATTCTTTGGAGCTCTACACTCTTTATTAGCTTATTATTTTGTTTCCCCAAGATTAGTCTGAATATTCGTCAGTCTGATTTTTTTCTTCATCATGTTTGCGCAGGCTGGGTTCAATCAGAGAATCATCTAGAAGTTGACTCATGAAAGATGAATCCTGCATATCTTGTTGTAAGTCTTCATCAACGGCTGTTTTTGAAGACTGGGTAGATGACTGTGTTGCTTTTTCCTGGCTAGATGAAAGCGTGTCAATGTCTTTCCTCATTTTCTTAAACAGATCATCTGAATCTTTCAGTTCTTGTTTGTATTTTTTATTTTCATCTTCAACTTCCTCTAGCCTCCTTTTCATTCTCTGAAGATTTCCATTTGTGTAATTGTATGCATTGTGCATCTTGTTCATCTCATGCAGAATGTTATCAGTATACTTTTTTAGTTTATCATTACATTGTTGTAACAGTGGTACTTTGTTGTCACCTCCTGTAAGGACAACTCCCGCAATCTGAAATCCAGTGGCTTTAATATCTTCTAAATTCTTCTTGATATACTCCATGTTCTGAAAATAAAGGATTTTCTACAACTACCTGGCCACCAAGCAAGCAAAGAAGTGAAAGAAAGCATTAAAAAATCTTTTGACTAGTACAAAAAAACTTTTCATGTCAAACCATTTTTCCTGGTGCTGTAGAATATATATAATTAAAATTTTAATTTCATTTTTATTTGCAAAGATGAATCATCAATTTGTATATTAACTGAATGAAGCAGTCAAAAGATCTCTTAAAGAATGAAATGTTAGCCCATGACATTCAGCCATAACAAAAAACCCACCACAAGCACAGTTAAAGCAGTGTTTGTAAGATAAAGTTATATAAAATTATTCAATGTTCTAATGTTGTAGAAGTGTTCCTTTAGTATAAAATTTGTGCCATAAACAATAGACAGTATCATTATTATTATTACTTTTGTAACATTTTAAGCATTAGACAAAAAAACACAGAAGTTCTAAACTTAGAATAAATGAGACGGGACAAAAACTTAAAGTGAACTTTCCTTGCACTGCTAAAACTGTATGAATATACAATATATAAGGAGAAGCAAACAGCACAACATAAGTACATTAAGACATGCAACACAACATCAAACAGTTAGATATACAGAGCATTTTACACAGAATGCTATAGGAAAATATATACAATAATGTTAGACTACAATAATGTATAACATGAGTAAAAAGTAGTGGGTGTTTTGATATGTTACCGGGTACACCACACATCCTGTAACAACTACTTGAGTGTTGTAATAAAAGTTTAAGATCAGATACAAATACTTGAAAAAAATGTATGTAGAACAAAAAAATATTACTAATGAGTAGGAAATTATGAAAAGATGTGATTTGGTATTGTTACAGATGTTCTAGGAGGTATGTCATGGAACAATCCAGCTTCTAACTATAGTTTACAGCATTTAGAACCTGGACTGTTTTTGAAAGATGACTGTTGCAGAAAGAACTACTGAAGTATAAATTTCATGAATGAGGTGTTCTTAGTTAAATTTGGTTAATGAAAATTCTTAACCACTAAGTCACCAATTGCATTGAGAAATGTAATAAAATTATATGACAGATATGCATTAAGAAAGACACAGCTTCTTTTCAATTGGAAATGTGTCCACAGAAAATAAGTGCTCACACTTATCAGTTAGTCTTGAATTAATAAATGAATAAAAAAAATTGTTACTTCAGTAAAACAGCCATCTTTCATTGTACCCATTTATGAAGGAAATACAATGTATACATAAATTAAACAAATTGATATATAAACACATTTAAATAAAGTATTACCTTCTTCAAAAAGCAATCCTCCTTTATAGCTGAAGAACCTTCATATATATATACAGTTGCTGTTTCCAAAGCACCACCATCAAGTTCTTATCTTGTATGTAAAAATGCTACGACGTATGAACGTAAAGACGCCAGGGGTATAACATAATATACTATTAATACATAATATTTTTTAGGGTATATAATTAAAATTGTACTAAATATAAGTGATCATCCAATTAAGTATGACAGTTGTAAAACTGTTTTCAATATTAAGGTCATTTGATATTGACCTTTGATCTTGTGACCCGAATACAGATCTTTTTTTCAATATAGGCAATCATGCTATGAAGTTTGAACACTGTAAGCCAAATGGAACTTGTGTGTAATGCTCCAGAAACCACAATTTTCAGTGTTAACATCATTGTGACCCTGACCTTTTCAC